CCAAGGCTAAAGCAATATGGGAATTGCAATTTTTGTTTATATGAGAGATATTCCCCAAAACATTCTGGCGTAATTTTAAAACATTTTATAACAGATTTACAAAAGAATGGACAGCAATTCTACAAGACTGGGCTTAAAAAACACCAGAGGAAGGGCCCTGCTAGGAATGACAATTGTTGCTGGCAGCCCTGCCTCTCAAACAAACAAACTCAAGGTTCTGTTTATCTAGAGTCTGGCACATTATCTTGAAACACAAATTTGAAGCAGTTGGATATCAGGATTGAGTTAGCTGCTTATTTTTGGAAAGAATAAGATGAATATGCAGATAATAAAAGACCGGAATGAACAAGATTTGTTAATACTTCCATGGAGAGTTAAAGCCTGTTAATATGGTAAGTTACAAGAGATAATTATTGTTTCTAATTAGATTATAATAGTAGCAACCACAGAAAACGCCACTCCTAAACTGGAATTTACATGTAGCCAACTTATGTCTTAAAGTCTCCAGCCTTAGCTGGTGCCTCCTGAGAATGTTTCCCTGTAACTTCCTTTCTCTGCCAAAACCAATTAGAGCAATTTGCAGAAATAGTCAGATAACCACATCCTGTAGCACAGAATAAGGTGCATCTCTGAAGGGAGAGAATTGCATTGCACTGTATGTCTCAATCCTAACGTCTATCTGGGAACTTACAAATATTTGAATCATGATGGAAATTAAAGTGGCCACTATAATATTTTTTAGCATTTTACTTGGACTGAATGCTTTGAAATGCAAGAGAAACGGTTAAGAAATGCACAGTATTTAAAGAGCACAAAGTGATTTCTTATCCTTCTAATATGACAAAACAATGATAAATGAAAATCCTGGTGGCAATAAGTGTTTCTGCCTGGCAAACATTTGCATTGACAACACTGTATTTATTATCTCAGAAGAATTATATCAGTAGATGTAATACCAGAAGCCATTCTAAGTTTTACACCATAATGAGGGGTGGTTTTTTTAGAATTACTGGCTACTTTGCCAAATGCTTTCACAGAATTATTTTGGTTGGTAAAGACCTCTAAGATCGAGTCCATTTTGTCAAGCAGAACATCACCTTGTCAACCAGACCATGGCATAAAGTGCCACGTCCAGTTGTTTCTTGAACACATCCAGGGATGGTGACTCCTCCTCCCTGGGCAGCCCATTCCAATGATTAACAGCCCTCTCTGTGAATAAATTCTTCCTGAGAACTCCTTTCTCAAATATAGAAATATTCAAGGCAAGATTTTAAAGACTGGATGTTCAGACCATCAAAAATATTAAGCACCCACTGATTTTCATTGTGTTCTGTTCATTATTGACCACTCGGAGCTTTTGCAAATCAGGCCTGACATCAAGCACGTGTATGCACGCGGAATTTAAATTCAGACACAAAGCCTGTACAGTTCAAAGGGGCAGTGATTCCCGGTGGGAGGGTCCTGTTGTGCCCACAGCCCAGCTCGGGAATGCCGGATTAAACCCCATGAACGTGTAGAACTGTAATTATTAACTCCAACCACCAGAGGGCAGAAGCAGCCCAGCACTTTCAGTTTAAATACAGACTGTTTCAAAATTTATGACTTTAAAGTCTGATTTAATATGAAAAAGCAAAATAAATAGCCAACAATCTTTACTGCAGAATACTTCATCTGATATCTTCTTAATTTCCTTAATATGGCATCGTTCATAGAAACTGAATCCCAAAGTATTTTGGAGTATTACTATGATCCGTGCAATACAATTCCAAAGATTAAAAGTGTGAAATCTATCATTAAAAGATATATATTCATTTAATATATAAAACTTAATTTTGTTATACACAGACAAAAGACTGCCAGAGAATCCAGAAATTGTGGACAGATATTTAAAACCATAGAAGGAATAAAATGAATGACGTGGACTGGGAAAATAAAAATTCGGTGCTAAAAAAGCAAGAAAGGATTAGAGAAAAAAAGGTACAATAATTGAGTTGGTGCAAGGTTATGGAGGTTATTTTTTTAAAGGTCACAATGAGATAATGAGTTTGAAACATATGCAATTTAAAAATGGCAAATTCACAAAATATAGTGATTAATAACAAGACTAATAACATAGATAATTTTTAATGAAGAGGACTATCTCATACCACCTGCTAACTTTTGTCCTTTTTGCTCCAAATTGCACAAGATTAGGGAAAAGAGTGACAGACTATACTCATTGGCAGAGGAAAATGGGTTTAGGAGCTAGGAAAGGAAAAACATTGGAACATAAATCCAAAAAGAAGGAATATTCATTTCCCTTTGAATCTAGGTATTGTGTTAGTTTTACCAGGCACATATACAGATCCTTCCAACATCCCGAGCCAGAAAATTGATACGAAAAGCATTCCTGGTGCCTGTGTGAATCCACAGACGTTCTGTTTGCTCAAGGCACTGGACTTTACACCCACCAATTCAACGTGGATCAAAACACACTTGCAAAATCTAGTCTTTAATTGCTTTTTTGTTTCTTTTTTTATCTTTTTGGTTTTTTCTTATTAAGGCACAGGCAATGCATTAGTCACTCTAATACCATCCCCACAGCACATCCATATGATCAAATCTAAAACATACCTAGGGATATGAAAGTCCCTACCACAGCTACACCAAAGCTGTGGATCCCTGAGCATTTTTGATCATGTTCTTACCTCATTGCTTGATAAACAGCATCCTGCAAAAAAACAGATGTTAGAAGAAATCCCACTTATTTCTTCTTCTAAACTCAACACACACATGAATAGTGTTCCAGTTTGCTAATCAATCTAAGAAAGTGAAGCTGCAGTGCCATGCTAACACAGCACTTCACACTTCTGGGATTCTCCTGAAAATACTACTGGCCCCACCAGTATAAGCTTTGGGTGCCCAAAATAGAAAGACCACTCTTCCACATTTTCTGTCTAACCCTTTCCCCTCATGTCACACAAGTCAAGGCACTATTTCCCCACAAAGGAATCTCTTCAGCAGCCCTGGATTCCCCTCCCTCACCAACAATCCTGTTTGACCACAGGAACTCCCTTTGCAATGCAATCAGGTGGGATCCTGACACCCCTGAAGAGGCTGAGCAGCCCCAGCTCCCCCTCACAGAACGATCATTTCTACTTTTTAAGTAGAAATGTAAAGTTAAAAGCTCTCCTTTGATCTGCCAATGCCTTTACTTTGGGAAGAACAAGCTAAGCCAAGATGAAGCAAATAATGCAGCAATGCTTTAAAACTTTTTGCCCCTCAGCTCTATGTGGGACACCTTTAGTACCTCACAGCAACCAGTCACCCTGCTGGTAACATTTGCTGATTGAGAGCTGGATACCGGGGCTGCTGCTATAATTATTCTGCTACAATTCTACTCCTTCTCTTGAATTGCTTTGTCAGACTTCCGTCACTTGAGACCAGTTCCATTACTGGAGACATGAAGTGTATTGAGGTGTTTGCCAGATAATAGACTAAGGTTCTTAGGCATCAATCTGTACAGATTAGTCTAATCTGTTGCTGCTGGAAACCTTGTTCCCAGCAGTAAAGTAGACAATAGTTTCAGATTACCTGCAATAAGGTTAAGCTATGGGCAGTATATGTTTTGAGGTGTGAAGAAAAACAAAACAGAAGAATGCATTCCCAATATTGGCTTTACCAGATGAGGTCAGTATCTGAATTGAGATTTCAGTTTCTCTAAGAACTATTCCTAGTGGGTTTGGCTCAATTTGAATTGCTTTATTTGTGAATGTTCTCTCAAATATTTTGGAATGCAGGATACAACAGAAGTTCAGTTAGGAATGTTGTTTCCCAAATCCAACAAAACACAGAAAATTAACATTTCAATATTGGATAAAAGTTTGTTATTTTTACATTAAGATTTCCCAGAGAAATTCAAACAATTCAAGATTTTAAGGATTCTATATAAAAATGAAGACAGTGAGCCAGTGAAGTTAAAGATATAAAAGGGCCACCACCTGTTCTAAAGTAATGCAGCCTTTCAGCAATATTTTTCATAAAATATAGGAATGTTTTTATCTGAACTCCCATAGCTCAACCTATCAACCAAAATACTAAGTAAGGACTGAAGGCAGATCATCCTTCCCTTTAGCTTTTCCTAGTATGAGATTACCTAAAATTATTTTTGTTCTATTGCCCCATTTTCTCAAACTTACCTTTCATTCTATAGGACAGCAGATATCAGGGATAAAAACATGCAGAAAGGAAGATCAACACTGTGTCTGTTCATGACAGAATGTAGGATTTGTGTCTAGTAAGAAATACAGGCTGAAGTCTCATTGAAGGGCCTCAGCACTTCAGGGAAGTTCCCAGAGCTCTGCTGAACAAAGAACAGCAGAAACCTGGACTTACAATGTTTTCCTACACTGTGGCCATGAAGAGTTGGGTGGGGGTTGTTTTGTATAAGGCTCTCCTTGACTTCAGGCTGAATATCAAATATGAGGATAATTAACTTTCATGTAATGTTTGATAAAATTGAATCCCACACCCTAAAATTAATGGCAATGATCTGGATATCTGGTCTGGTCCCAACTGATTTGATCCTGTGAAATGCTACATTCTGTCATTAAAAGATAATAGGGCAACTTCCATAACTGGAATGCTTATACTGACAAGAGAGGAGATATCCAAGTTGAAGTATTAAATAGGCAAATACCCTAAATTAATTGAAATTATATAAAAAGATTATAATTTTCAGCTTCTTTTAACTGGGCAATTGTTTGAACTGAACAGTCGGCTGAATATTACGCCTTCCATTTGAGATAGTTTTCATAAAGAACATAATTTTTTGAAAAAGGTATCATATTCTTTATAAATAAGCTATTTAAACTCCTATGTAACACATAGTCTGTTTTGAGTAGCCAAATCTATTTTGCATATTGTGTATTTCAGCCTCTAAACAGACTTCTTCTACAACCTTGAAGCTTTGTCAAATCATCTTCAGTTAAGCTGTAGTAATTCACAGTAGCTGAAAATCTTGTGCAACCTAGGGTTTGTATTTTTTTAAGCTGCAAAAATATCTCAACTTCTCTGAAAATACTTATTCAAAGATATAGGAAAAGTTCACTTTTCCCACAAAAAGTAGATTGTAATAATACTTCAAGTATTTACAGTTTATTTGAATGGAAATTATAATAAACTTTCAAATCTGGGCATAAAATCATAATTACTATATCATTACTTAATACAAGCTATTAATAATTCTCCGTGCTCTGTTGTAGTACTGTAACACCAAACCATCCTTCTTTCTACTCTAGCAGGCTGGAGGTGAAAGTATTTTTCACCATTAGAAACTGAGATTCTCTGTGTGATCTTTTCAGCTTTGCACGACGGTTCTGGAACCAGATCTAAAATGAAAAGAGAAGGCAGGCTTTTCAGAAAGCACTGAAAGCAGAATAATGTTTGAAACAAATAGATTCACATGGCATTACAATATTTTGTGTCATGACAGCTCTTTGGAAGTTCAATACAAATTTAAAATCTGCAGATGATGGCATGCAGCTACTCGCTGTAATTCTAAGAGCACAGACAAAGAAAGTAACATCCCCAGCTTAACTGCAAAGCAAAGATCAGCTTCACTGCAATTAATATAAAAACTAGCATTAATTTCAGTGACAGAGTCAGACCCTGGAGGATCTCAAACATCTGGAATTCTGTCTTCAGTTGCAACATCAAGTTTCCCATCAACCCCAATATAATAGTTGCATTGAAAGCTTGATAAACATCAAGGTGAAGTCCAAATTCTAATGTCTACAATATTTGTATAATATTGGACTATGTGGAAATCAACAGTCAATATCCCTGAGCAGACCTTGTTTTTGATCAGATGAAGACAGAGGTTCAAACACTGACTTAACAAATCTATGCTCTACTGACAGTCTCAGACAGTTATACAAATTATTTCAATATCTGTTCCATATTTGTTTTTCAAACATTGTGATAAACATAACATAAACATGATTTTAAAACATTGAAGTAAATGATCAAGTTACTTATGTGATAACTAGAGATTAACAGAGCAGATATCATGGAAGCATTATAGTGATTATTGCCTCATTAGTGCTATGGAATAAGGTTTTAGATTTCAGAAGGAATTAAATGGCTTCCATTTCACAAATCATTGAGGGCATATTACATACAAGTATATTGATTCATATTGAGATTATTAATATTATTGCTACTGCTGTCAAACTACTTATTTATATAACCAGAGGGTACATATAAATGTAATTAGAGAAAAGTTCAAATACATTTTTAATTACCTGGATCCTGTCTTCATCTAAGTCTAATTTGCGAGCTAGCTCTTCTCTAATATCAATGCCGGGGTAGGAGTTCATTTTAAAAACATTTTCCAAGACTTCAATCTGAGGAGTTTAAAACACACTTGTTGAATAGTTATCACTACTTTCATAGCAGTAATACAGAAAAGAAATACAGAAAAACAGGTTTAGTTTGTTCAACAGGAGACATCCAAGCAGGGTTTGCACAACTCTGATTCCATGCATAAACACAAGCTGAAATGAGCAACATCCCTGTTAGTTGACACTAGTTCCTGATTGCATTTCTCTCTGCAGAAGTACCTCACGCTGCATTAGGCAGCTGTTTCAGGCTTCTACCAACATTTCACTGAACTCCATTGTTATTCATTTGTTAAATACTGAGAAAAGCCCTACCTGGTTTCTAGTGAATGCAGTTCTTGGTCTTCTACCCCTGTACCAGCTCAATTCCCGTTTGAAAGACAGCCTTTCAGTGACTGAAAGATATTTTTCACATTTCAAAACTTTTTCCTCTTGCACTGGGTCACCGTTAGCATGAAATAATGGATTTTCATAGCAAACAACAGGGATTTGCAGGTGGGGATTACTGTCATCACCTAAAACTAGAAAAAGAAAGCAAAGGAGAGCTTCAATTTACCAGTTTCCGATATAAACATGCAAATATTTTTAGAGTAAGAGCCTGAGAGACTACAAACCAGACTGACTTACCCAAGCTGGTGCACGCATCCACCCAGGGTCTGTGAGGTTTCACAGCTGGAATGGCATCTTTTTTCTGCTCCAGTCCCAAAATGCTTTCGATTGAAAACGAGCACTGTGTGGTTTTATTTTCTACAAAGCCAGACACTTTGTGAAGATTCTGAGGCGCCGCTGCTGTACTGGCAGCACACAGCGATGGCCCGGCCATGCTCTCCCCCTCAGCCAGCATAGCAGGGACACTGCACTTGCATTTCTCCACAGGTCCTTATAGCTGTGTTGACAAGGGGGTTGGATTTGCAACGTCATTAATTAAAATCTTTTATTAGAAAGTTTTAGCATGTCAATGAAAACTCTCCCACCAAGAGGCACGAGGAGTTAATTGTTTATTTGTTTGCAAGTAATTAGCAACTAATGGTGACACTAGGGGGGCCACCAAGGGGACAAAAAGTGTTATCTCTCCTAACCAGAGCATCGACTTAACTTTCTCAAAAGAAGCTGTGCACAAATATAGTACTTCTCTTTTATTTGAAATCATTAATGTATAAAATCAGTTTTTTAAAAAACTTTATACTCTAATGGACTCCACTTACCTAAACATAGCAGCATGATAGGAAACCAGTCAAGTAATAAGTAATCTCATTTAAGTGAATTTCCTTCCAAGGAAATTTTAAAAATAATCTCTTAATGCTATTAGGGTAATCCCAATGAAAATGCCTCTGTTTTTTCATATGCATATGTAATGGTGAACGTGGTCAATGAAACAACAATAGCTTTTGGCATAAGGCACTGTGCAGTGGGTTGGCAATGTTGTCAAAGCTCAGTGTAATTGCCTTCCAAGTGCCTGGATTAGTTAATAGGAACAGTTGCACCAACTATTTTAAATAATTCATGCATTCATTTTTCTTATTAAAATAACTTTGTTGCAGCTTTTCTGAAACATATCAGTTGTGACATTTCCTGATAATTCTTTGCAACATAAAAACAAAACTTAAAGGAAGCAGTACACTCAAATTTACTGGTTTAAAAACTCTCTTTTTCTGGTAGAGGTCCCTCCCTTCCTGTAGGTTTATAGCCAGTAGAAGTATATTTAAATCCTACAGAGCAAACACTTAAAATTACAAAAAAATATATGAGTAGTGAGGAGAAAGGAGATAAAGGCTTTGTAATGAGGCTCAAAGTCTGCAAACAGAATTCTGATCTCATCCATTGTAGAGGAACTACCAACTATAACATTTGTATATTCAGCCTCAGCCATCAGCCACACAATTTACATGTCACATGCTCAAAACCAGGTTTTGGTTCAGGACAACTTCTCTACAGAAATTCCTCCTTTTTTTATTTTGGGCAAAGCTTTATTTTATAACATGCAAAAATGAAAACAATATTTTCATTTCAGGATGCAAAAGTTTCCCCTTCTTACTGGCCTGATTCTGTGTTGTGCAATAAGATTGTTGTCAAACCAAACTCTTCAAAAGTGACAATTCAAGGAGCCATCTTACCAAGGGCACTTCTCAGCACACATCAATGGCTCTTGAAGAGGCACCAATCCACCTGCAGTGACCACCTGCAAGCTGAGCTCCAGCCACCGTTTGACAGCCTGGCAACCACAAGGGCAGATTTACAGAAAAGCCAGAAGGACCTGGGTATGAAACCACAGCTTGCTGGAGGAGTTGGTGAACTAGAGGTCACTGGGAAGCAGAGTTAAGCAAGGGCTTTACAGCCTTTTATGTCTCAGTACAGCTGTGCCCAACAAGGCAACCTCTGGCCTTAGCAAAGCAGTTCAGAGTGTTCAGCCTGCACACCAGGAGTTACTGAGGAGACCATGCAAAGCCTCCTGCATAGCAGGGATAGGTAGATCAGTTTTCTGCCTCTACAGTCTCTAAGTGGAACACCAGCTTTTAATTTTTTTTTTTAAATCCTACAAAACACATTAAGTCAAAAAGAAAACAATACATCTCCTTCTGTATTGAACTTGGAACTGCTTACAGGCTTCTCTGGCCCAAAGAGGTAACAAGCATGATCACCAATAGAGAGAGACACTCTTCAATCCAGAAACCAATGGGTAATAATAATAATACAAAAAACCCTCTGAATGATTATAATACAAAAAGCTAGTTTTAAAACACAGCCCACTATTTTTCTTAAACAACTTAAGAAACCAACACACTGACACAAAACACATGTAAAAAATATTGATTTCTCCTGGATAAATATGAATGAAATCAACATGAGCCACACAGCTGAGACTCAGATTACCACACCTTCACGTCCCAAAGACAGAAATACCCCCACAGGTGTTCCCTTCAGGAAGCTACCAAGAGCTATCAATAAAGACAAGGATGTGTAGTGGTCAGAGAGACATTTATGAGAAGCTCATATCTTCCACACACCTTCCCAAAGCTAACCCAGTATTTATAAGCTATTTCTGGTCTCTCTGTGATTGTGGAAGATGGAAAAAAACTCATCCTTCAAGATAGTCTGCTTTTAACTCCCAGTTGGAAACATTCTTTCAGAGCTTTTTAATGAATTTTCAAGGAAAAGAGATCTTAGTAGCTCTCAAAATGAATTTCCATAAAATAGGTCAAAGCCAGTTAACTCATTCACTTGGCACAGGTCAGGACATCACCCAACACTGCCATCCAGTGTTTGGGCTTCCCAGCTGTTAAATTCCTTCAGAAATGTCATAGGAGGAAGAAACCATGTTATCTTTTAATCATGTTATATTCATTGCTCAATGTTGAATTGAATCAGAGCTGGAGACCACAATGCAGTCACAAACATCTCAACACTCTTGTTTTTAAACAGAGTTCATGATTGCAACTGCACATAGGAGTAGAAATTTATAAAAAAGTCACATGAAAAGACAAATTATTCTAGAGATAAGAAGTCTGCATTATACTAAAATTCCATTTTATCCCTTCAAGTGTCCAAGATGAGATTGGATGGGGCTTTGAGTGACCTTATTGAGTGAAAAAAGTCCCAAAGGGGCACTGGAACTGGATGATCTCTAAAGGGCCCTCCCAACCCAACCCATTCCATGATTCTTAAACAACATATATGTAGAGATGAAGCCACTGGAAAGTCTGGCTGCAGGTCTCTGATTCAAAAGTTGCTGAGTTTCTTTGAAGAGAAGTTTGCTGAGCTATAGAGTCAAACTATTTGTCATCAAGATAAACAGTCAACAGAACTTTCTGTAAGAAATCAGGATGAAGATACACTTTCCACAGGACAGAATACTTCAAGTTTTAGATTGAGGAATACCTGGTACTACAGATTAAATTTCTAGGAATTCCTACTGTAACTGTAAATGGACCTTGAGCCTTCATTTCAAAACTGCATTCTGTTATTTTGGCCCATTAGAGATTATCAATACTTGCCTTGCAACCTATGTGAAATTACCTACAGACTTTTAGCTAAATACCTCTGTAGTGGCAATTAGAGCAACACAACAAACATTAAGTTGAGAATCCTAAGTAATCAATTATAGGAGAACTCACTGCTCCTTGGATATGCAAATCCAATCCTCTTACAGCATCACATTCTTGATGAGGCAGCAAACTAATCTCCCTTTCAGACTTTGCACCACTGTTTTTTTGCCCAGGGACAGTGGAGTTCATCCATTTAGTAGATGAAGCTCTTGTTCTTTAGAGATGTGAAGCCTCTAAGGGCTGTTTATAGCAGCTCAAGAGACCACACCGAGAGCTCTTGGGGGCTTTGGGCTGAAACCCCAACCCTTGCTCTTGCTGCCTTTTGCTCTTCTCCCCCATTGCTACTCAGCTGCCAGGTCACCTTTCACTGGACAACATTTTCAGCTTTATGAAAAGGTATAAATGGTAGATATAATCTTTCTTGATTACTTATCACACTCCAAACATTTACCTTTCATCTCACTTTTCCCAGAGCTTCTTTAACCCACTGCATGAATGTTTTACCACCTCAGAAGTTGTTCTGTATAAAGCTCCCTGTCAGATATGTTTTGAACATGATGAACACACATTATATTCTACACCAGCTTCATAAGTCAAAGGATTTTTTTAAGCAAAAATGGTAACACCAATTTTAACAAAACATGACCAAAAAGAAGTAGCTATTTTGATCCAAGGAGATTAAGTGAAGACAGATAAATTCAAGGTAAATCCAAGGGTGCCATGAGCAAAAGTCTGAGAAACAGTGTGTTAAACAGCAAGAAACATGTAATTTTCTAAGCCTACCTTATCCCCACAGCTCCTTTCACCCTCCAGCAGAGGCAAAATGTTCTCTCCATTAGGGCACACATCTGGAATACTCTAAAGAGCTGTTGGCTGCTTTTCTTCCTGTTTATACGGTGCCAAGTGTTAGTTCCTCTCATTTTTAAGGCCTCTTAGTAAATATTTTGCAGAAAGGACAAAAAACCCCCGTCAGTCCCACAAATCAGAAAACCCAAATCAAAAAATAAATCACACAATAAGAAAAAGCCTAAAATGCTGAAAGCAGTGTAACACTAAAAATGTACTTATTAAAGGGTTCAGAGGGATTCTTCAATTCATTACTATCAAATCTCATCTGTTGGTGTCAAATTCGTAGCTCAAATAAAACTTTTGAATACCTTGTATTGTTTGTAAAAACATGAATAAAAGGTAAGAACAAGAAAAGTAACAAGTAACACACAGAATGTGTCAGCATAAAGGACGTAATAAAACAGCTGAGAAGCCCTGGTACACTTCAGAATTATTAGAGAGGCCACCCACTAAACAAATCATTAAACTGAATTACTAAGATCAACAGAAACAAGACACGTTTCTATGCTACATGCCAGCAGGGATAATAAAGCACATTTCTGCATATTAAAGGGCATGTTTGTTAGGATATTGTTTTCTCTTCCACAAAACATTTAATTCTCAAGGAGCTGTTCTCTACTGATAGCAGCTAAGAAATGTTTTTGGTTTTGTTTTTTTTTTTCCTCTGCCACTTACAGCTGCAAATATACAAAGCTAACTAAACTCAATTCCATTTAAAGTTATTACCTTTCTGAATTCTGCTGGGGAAATGCATCTTACAGCACAAAACAGAGGCACTTCTTACAGGAGACTGCTGTAAAACTTAGGCACAAGTTAACTGATCTCAACACCAGAAAGCAGGTCATGAGCCAACGCTCTGTCACATAATTACAGATACAAGACTTAGTTTTCATAATACCTTGTAAGATAACTCTGAATTATTATCCTCATGTGACAAGGAAAGAGAGAAGTAGTGTGACTTGCTTAGGTCAGGTGAGTCACAGCTGAGCTGGTAAATGAATTGACTGAACAAGGCACTAACTTGGAAATTTCTTCACCACTCCCTACAGGAAAACAAACAAACAAAAAAACCCCAAACCAAAACACCCCTCACCAAAAAAACCCAAACTATCAAACAAACAAAAAACTTACCTCAAAAATCTTTAGTTGTTTGTAATTTAACACCAGACTTCATCTGCTTTTAAAGGTAAACCACAATCTGGTATAACATAAAGAAACGTCTCCATAGCAGAACTGCACAACTGTTAATTATTTGCTCTGTTGAAAGCACTTCATGCACTTTCTAATCTGGTTTTATACTAAGTTCACCTGGTCCCAAAAAGGCAAAACCATCAAGGAAAAAGCCTCCTTTTTTTTTTTTTTCCCCCAGCTGTAATAATAAATATATCTCAAAATTATCATCAAGTCTATCGAGTCTTGCTCTCTAACTACCTGAAAGGGGATTGTAGCCAGGTGGGAGCTGGGCTCTTCTCCCAGGTAACAAGCAATAGGCCAAGAGGAAACGGCCTCAAGCTGTGCAGGGGAAGTTTAGGTTGGATATTAGGAAAAATTTCTTCTTGGAAAAGGCAGTCAGGCAGTGGCACAGGCTGCCCAGGGAAGGGGTGGAATCACCATCCCTGGAAGTGTTCAAAAGGCATGTGGATGTGGCAACTGGGGCCGTGGTTTGGTGGTGAACACAGTGGTGCTGGTTCATGGTTGGACTTGGTCTTAGAAGCCTTTCCCAACCTTAGCAATTCTACAATTCTGTGATTCTAAGTAATTTCAGAGTTGAACCAGTTTGTGAGTTCAACCAATGATCTGGTTCAACTCCAGCGAGCCCTCACAATAGTTTTTAAGCATTTAAAATTGGCCTCCAACCTATAGCACCAAACTTATCCTGTCTAAGAGAACAGGGAGCCCGCCAGAACTGAACTCTTGCTTCTGAAGGGGAAAATTTGGTGGTCAGCAATGTTTTTTTTTAAGACACAACCAGAAACAAGTCCTCAGCACTTTATAACAAAAAACTAGCTTGATAGGGATAGAAATACTTCTTCAAGTGTTGGAGAGATATACAGAATCATCAAATCACCAAGGTTTCAAGAGATCTTTAAGATCATCCAGTCTAACAGCCAGCCCAGCACCACTACAGCAAAATTTTTTTTCTTGTATCTAATCTGAATCTCCCCCGCCTCACTTTAATGCCTTTTCCTCTGGTCCTCTCACCGCAGGCACGGTACGAGAGACCGGCCCGCACCTGGGACGCACCCACATGGCAGGGATAAGAGGAGACTTCCCAAAGGTGACGTGGAAAGAGTGCCAAAGCTGCTCCATCACGCCAGGGGCACGACGGCGTCACCGCGCTGAGGGTTGGCCCCCGAGGCGGTCGTGCGTGAGGAGAGAGCAGCAGACCCCGGACTGCGCACAAGGCGAGGAGGACACTTCGCTTGGCGCCCTGACCCGCACGGCTGGGCGGTCACCTCAGCTGGGACACGTCCCCGGCTGCCCCCGCTCCGCTCCCCTGGAGCCGCTCCCGGGACCCCCGGGACCCCCGGGTCCTTCAGCCCTGAGGGGCCGAGCGCGAGGGCGGGAGCTGCGGGACAGCCCCGCGCGAGGGCGGACAGACAGACGGGCCCGCCCGCCAATAAGGAGCGGGCAGGCAGGGCAGAAGGACCAATGGGAAGGGCAGGCAGGCGGGCAGGGGGCGGGACGTCCGGCGCGCGGGGCGGGGGTGGCGGTGCCGTGGCGGGTCCGGGCGGGCCCGCGGGGGGAGCGGAGCTGCTGCGGGAGCGGAGCCTCAGCCCGGCCCGGCCGCCGCCATGCCCGGCATCGACAAACTGCCCATCGAGGAGACGCTGGAGGACAGCCCGCAGGTGAGACGGTCGCGGCGGGGGCCAGATCGGGCCCGGCCCCTGCGCTCCGGGCCCAGCACTGCTCCCCCGGCGCTGCCGACCCCCGGCGAGCCCCAGACGGACGGACGGACGGACGGGTGGACGGGCGCGGGGGACGCTCCGGGCGGCGCGGCAGGAGCGCTCCCGCACGGCTGGTGCCTCCCCGTGCTCCCGCCCCGCGCAGAGGCTGCGGCCGCGGTCTGGGCTCGTCCTGCCCGTCCCGGCCGTGCCCGCTGGTGTCCGGGGGGCGATGGGCCGGGCACCGCGTGTGCTTCAGCATCGCGGGCAGGGCACAGCCCGCGCCGGCCCTCGGACCTCCCCGCCCCCGCCTTCGCGCTCGGCAGTGATTTTGGACACCTCGTGATGACAAAATCCCGTCTTCGCTTCTCAAGGCGATTTGTGTTATCTTTATCTTTCGCTAAAACCGCGTTAAGGTTTAATAGATCCGTGTCAAAAGGAGGTGCTGGGTCGCGGCGGTGGTTTGTGCTGACAGTACGGGGGAAGCACATGGAGCCCAAAGGCCTTTAATTGCCCCCATCCTTCCGTGCCATTGCTGTGCCTGACCTTTGTCAGAGATGCCCCGTAGTGCGGTGGCATTTCTCTCTAAAGCAGGAAAGGCTTTATTCCATTGCACGGGTTTCTGTCGGTGGCAGCAACAACAGCAAGTACTTGTAGTGCTCTTCTTAGATGTGGGGGAAAAAAAGTTTACAGTGTGTTTTCCTTTACTGCAGCCTTTTAAATTAAGATCCTTGCTCTGATGCACAGTTTACGTAGTGAGCAAGACATCCTGTATTGTAACAGCATCTGTGCTGGTAGCTTTGATTCCTTGGCCATAGGAAGAAAAACTTTCACTTGCTTAATAGGGAATTTTAACTCTCTAAAATGACAGTCACTTTAACAATTCTAAACCAAGGGGAGGAAGGACTTAGAGAAGGCACTAGAAGACCATGCAGAAAGGGAGTTGTTGCTTTCTGAACAGCAGTGCCCCAAATAGCTCAGATACTACATGTGAGATGAGATCTGACCTGTCATGGGGCCTTTGGCTAAACGTGGTGTCATCTCATGAGGAGGAAAAATTTTTGAAAGTGTTACAACAATAGTGATTAAAAAAAAAAATTATCTCTTGAAGGTCTGTTCTCAGTATAAGGAAGTCAGAACTATTCATATTTATAGGAAATGCCAAATGTAAGATAAACTTAGGATCATCTGAGGACGTTTGGAAAGCACATGCAAAAAAGGTTTCTTATTGGAACATAATTGTGAATTCTAGAGTCTTTTGAGGTTATTTGTGACACAGACTAGCAAAGCCTAATTCAACCCTAATTGTTGTGCTTAAACAATTGGATTTCACCTAAAATTTCCTATTTTAGGTGAATTCTGGCAATCATATCTTAGAAGAACATAGCAAGGATTCTGTAGCTTTCTGTTACATTTCTGTTACATTACTTAATTTCTCTTACTTTGAAATCAGTGCAATGGAAATGGCAACAAATGTTGCTTGAAGAAAGCAGAACTCTCCTCTTGAGGAGTTGCCATGACTGATGCATTCCTACTGTGATAATGAAAAAGCTCATCAGCCCAGGTCATTGTTTAGTGCTGAATTATGGCCCAGAGCTTAGACAGATTCCAGACACCAACTGTAGGTATATAAACATCAAACTTATTCTGTGTCTGAGGGAAGGAAGGCCTTTTCTAAAATTTCAAACCCCTTTCACTTCCTGTTGTCACAGGATAGAAATCTAACCACTGTGTTGTCAGGCCTGAACCAAATGCCAAGTTTACATAGTCTTTTGCTATGCAAAGCAGAGCAATTTAGATTGGAACTCAGGACATATATTACACACATACTCAGTGTATATTTAGGGAGAGTTTCTGCTCAGACTAATTTGCATTCCCAAAGCATTGCACAACAAAAAAGCCAAGAGATTGGATAGCACAGGCTCTTGCAGTATCACCTGTGAGTAGTGCATAGCATGGCATAGAAGCCTTCACAGTTCACTGACTTCTAACCAAGTGGTTTCTTTGTGCAGCTTCTCACTGGTGCTCTCCTGTTTCCCTGCTCATATACACAGGTTGAAAGCATCCTAAAGAACATGCAAAATGAGGCAAAGTTTTACTAAAAACATGAGTGAACAATTCCTCTAGTTTTCTGCTAAGAAATAGTCTGCCATAATTTGTTTATAGTTTCAGGTTAATTTCTTTCTATCAGTATCATACAATGCCAGTTTTTTAACATAAAAAACATAGAAAAGCATTTTTCTTCAGTGTTTGGTTTTAAAGAGTAAGGATAATCCAGAAACCTTACATGATATTCCCTTAAATTACAAGTTCAGGTTTATTTGTGGTCAGGCTTAAAGGTCATGAGTATATAATTCAGTGGGTATAGTACCATGTAATTTTTTCTTTTGCATTCTTTCGTGTCTGTCTCCTTTAATGGGAGAGTCATGGCTGTTAGGATGACACATGTTGCCACACCTGGCAAAGATTTGAGTTCTTCTCCACCTCTTTCCTCCTCTATCTCCCCTTTCCACTTGTTTTATAAGCTAGATCCAGCATTAAAGTTTGCCAGTCTTTTATTCTTTTCCCAGGCCCCATTAGTTCCTTCCCCTCCTCTTTGAGGAAACCACAGTTATTCAGCCTAGGGAAGACTAAGAATTTCCAATTTCAAGTGTTTAACAATCATAATTTGGGAAAACCCCGAATTACATACTTAAGATTCTTTCGATCTTCTGTCTGGGCATTAATTTTAATGTAAACCTAAAACCAAAGCACAGTATTTTTGCTAAAACGTTACTAAAGTGTTTCTGTTGTGGCTCTTGCAAGCAATACTCCTGTTTCTACATCCCAGCATCCCAACCAGTGTTTTAGAATAGGAAAAGCCAGTGGAGCCTGTCAGAGTTATAGGAACATCTTCTGCTCTTCCCCCTCTGGGCTTTCTGTCTTGGTGGAAGGAAGCCCTTCAGTATCCTTGTAGTGAGAAGTAACTTTGCTTCCAAGTGCAAAAAGGATGCAAGAACACCGAGTCAGCATCTCATTTAAGCTTAAAGGGCAAATTATACCTGAGTGACCTGTCAGTCAGTCGTTCCAGCACAGGGAGAGCAGGGGGTGTCACTCAGCTTGCACAAGGACTCTGACACGCTCTCTGGTAACTTCTGCTGGCCAAAGGGAGAGGTTTGGACTGACCTGAGTGGAAAAACTGGCTGAATAGGTGGGCTGACAGATAGAGATCAGTGTTTTGAAGTCTAATAGGTGGACAGTGAGGTGTATGCTGTTAAGCACCTTCATCAGTGATGTGGGCAGTGCAATAGAACAGTCATCAGGCTTGTGCGTGACACCAGCTAAGGAACAGACAGACTGACAAGCTGAGATAAGGACAAAAGGACAGATCTTTTCACTCCCTTTCAGTGTTGAAAACACTTGTCTTGAGGACAACCAGATGTAGGTTGTATTGTTTGGTTTGGTGTGGTGTTTAGTTCCTCAACCTTTTGATCACAGAGTTGGTGGTTGTTGCACAGGTGAATTACAGGTCCAAGCACAGCCAGCAGCTGTCTTCATGCAGGTTGGACAGTATGGGAAAACCACAGCCTTTATTTGGATCTCACTGCAGAAGGAACCTGTATTCCTGGCATGCTGTTTAATACCACTCATCTTTACCCTTTTCCTTAGGCATGTACCATAGTGGTTCCAGTAGTTGCCCACAGTTTCAACTTTTTAACACAGTTGTTCATCTCCCTTGGTCCTTTCCTTTCTGAAAATGTATTAACCTGGAGAGAGGCTGACAGTAGGAGTGAGGCTGAGCTTGGATAAGATTCTTTGGCATGCAACAAGTATCATTCCTGTGAACACTGTTGGAGGGTTTCTAAACTTTTCATTAATGAAACCCGAAGCAATGCTACTTAACTCTCAAATTCCATTACATTTAAATACTACTTTTCTAACTTGCTGTGTTGGTATTTTGGCTGTTTGATTGTTACAGACCCGCTCTTTGCTGGGAGTATTTGAAGAAGATGCTGCTGCAATATCCAATTACATCAATCAGTTATTTCAAGCCATGCACAGAATATATGATGCACAGGTAGAGTTCATGAAATTCTTGAATGCATTATAAGGCTTTTGAACCACATTTCATGTCTCTTTCTTTTTTTTGAAATTATTATAAGCAATATGGGTTTTTAACTTCCACATTCTTTAAATGTAGAAGCAAAACAAAGTAAGGATTAATGATTGTTTTTCTATAAGGGTGTGGTAAAGACTAAATTCTTGTGCTTTCTTTTGCAACAGAATTTCTTATGACAAAAAGGTTTTCTGGTCAAGTAGTTCTGTTGTATTTCCCAAGTGTTTCTAAAATGTTGTACACACTAAATGATCTTGGTGTATGTAATAGTATGTACCGAGTGGGAGATTTTTTTGCGTACATTATGTTCATGTTTCATTCATTGTCTATAAATAACTGCACTTTTATGCCAGACAGAATCTCTTTTGTGTGGTTTTCTGAACAGTTGAGTTTATGGCTGTATTTTTAATTTGTATATACTTGAATTGCTTGACTTTTTTACTGATTTTACTTTTTTGCCTTTTCTTCATCAGAATGAATTAAGTGCAGCAACTCATCTGACTTCAAAGCTTCTGAAGGAATATGAGAAACAGGTACTTTGTAAATCACTGTTGTCTTTATGTGGTCAGGACTGTGTATTTCTGTAGTCTTTTATCTCCCAGAGCACAATGTAGAATGTGTTTAGGTTTGGTCCATACAAAATGAATTGCTGTGGTTGGTGGTTCAAACCTTTGCCAAAAGAATCTATCATCTTTATATTAGTTCTTCCAACTAAACTGGAATTAATTCCTCTTACATGAAGAATATTAATAAGTTCTGAAATATTTTACTTTTGGATCAGTATTTTGAGGGTTGCTTAGGGTGGTTTTGCTTTGATTTTATTTTATAAACCTGTTTACTGTTAGGTGCTTTAATTTTACTAATCACAAAGAGAAGAGATTGCATAGCAATTTCCAGTTAACAACCATAATTTACTCTGGGTGAATAATTCCATCTCTGAAAGCAAAGACTATGGAATCCATTACTTTCTTCCTTGGGAGCATGTACTTTTGAAGGCTTTGCTGATGGGCCCCCTTTTCTGAGATGCACATTAGAAACAAGAAATTTACTTCTTTTAGGAGGCTGCTGCTCCCTATCCTCCTTCTGCACCTAATGAAGTGAACAACTTCAGTGTATCTTAACTGTATAATGTTTTAAAATAATGGAATACCTAATATATTCATAGACATGATTAATAGTTTTGTGAATGGCAGGAAACACTGCCAACAATATAACTTTTTTTATCTTTTCTCAGCGTTTCCCACTGGGGGGAGATGATGAAGTCATGACTTCCACTCTGCAGCAATTTGCAAAAGTGATTGATGAGGCAAGTGCTTCCATCTGCTTTGCTGATGTTGTCATGTATAGACTTTAATTTGCTTCATTATTCCAGCCTTTTTTAAGACAGTAGGTACAGAAATGGCATTCATTTGTCAACAAGGTAACACTTAATTGTATATTGCAGCATCTATTTAAAGTTATATAACCTGAAGATAAAGAATTAATTCAGCAAAAAGAGGATACATTGTTGGGAAAGAATGGAGTTCAACTTACTGTAAATACAGCCAAAAATACTGCACAGTGGCAGCTGGTGACTGTTTTCATGAGAGTATTTGTATTGCCTGATTTTAGTACCTGACTGATTTTAGGTACAGACAGCAGGAGCCTCCTGACGGTGCTCTTAACGGTGCTCCGTTAAGAGCTGAATCAGGATGTTTGCTGTGGTCCAGCTCCTCACTTTTAACCCTACTTAAACAGCATTTTGGGAGGAGGAATGTATTTTGTTCTACCTCTGTAAACTGTGAAAGACAGGCTGGGAGGTGGCTGGAAAAATAAACTGAACGTGTGAGGCCATCTTTAGATATGATCCAGTAACTTGGAATAAGGTTTGGAAAGTTTGGACAAAAACTAAACTCTAAAGTTTAGTCTTCTGTAGATAACTAGTGGTGAGATCTGGAACCTAGAAAAAATTAGCTGCAAAAAAAGGAATGTGTAAAATGATGTTTAAGTTATTTAGTTTAAGTACATGTCATTTTTGAGTGACATTGATGGCAACCTACCATGATTAGATTTGGTCTGAGCACTGTTTTCCTAAGATTTCGTTCTTTTTCTTGTCTTTTTCAGCTCAGCTCTTGCCATGCAGTACTTTCAACTCAGCTTGCAGATGCAATGATGTTTCCTATTACCCAGTTTAAAGAAAGGGATCTAAAAGGTAGAGCACTTGACCAAATATTCCTTTTTATCTACAGCAGCAACAATAAAATGTAGCATTTAATCTCCATAGCTCTTGTTTCACTAAATAGAATACGCCACTTATTTTTTCAGCTCTCAAAGTATGCATCTCCCCATTTAAAAAAAAAGTAAGTTATTTCTATTCATGAGAGTATTACGGTTGAAGAACTTAACACTATTATTATTTCAATAAAAGTATTACTTACATTATGGAAGCACTTACCTTCTGTCCAAGATGACCATTTTGAAGTTACTGAAAAACATTAGGAAAGAATAATTTTCAGATAATTTGCATTTTCAGGAAATACTTCTGTATATTTTAATACCATGACATCAGTGTAATTGCTGGACTAAACTCAAAGGGCAAAGTGCCAAGGTTGTAGTACTTACTATATTAAGAATTAGTGACATGGTTCTTCAACCCTGCTGGTGATACAGGTGACTTCTTATGTGCAGGCATAAGGTGCTTCCAGCTTCTGATTTTTGTGACAGTTGTGTCTTATTCTACCTGGTTTAAAATAATGTATGTGTGTGATTATGATAGATTTTACTCGAGATGATGAAGTGAATAAATTGTATATGGCAAAGGGACTTTAAATACAAATTATAAGAGTTAAAACCAGAATAACTTCCAAATCCCTGTTGTGAAGATTCTAGAGTGGGTATACCTAACATATGAATGTCTTAAGTCTAAATCAAAATAAAAACTTCAAGTCTTCCATAAGTCTTCTAACTATTTATGAATCTTGGAAAATACTTCTTTGGCAGTAGTTTGCTGCAAAATTATAGATTAAACAGCTTATGCTTTTTGAGCAAGGGATCATGAATATCCCAAGGCTAATATTGCTTCTCAGAACCTGGAAAAATCCCCTGTTAGTCCTCACTGAGCAGGACCCCTGAGGCAATAATAGCAGAATAGATTTTCCCACTGGAAGTTTTCTGCCACCAGCTGGTGCAGTGTGTAATGACACCATACTTCCTTCTGGACTTCAAAGGCATTTCCTCTACAGCTTTTCCATGTTTTTTTGTATTTGCTTTCCCATAAAGTTGAACACAGCTTTCTGCTTGTTTATGTTGTAATATGACACGAACCACAGTCAGGACCAGAACAGGTGTAAGATACTGTTCTGCTTTCAGTTCCCTGGCACGGGGAGACTAAATAATCAGCTAGAACATGGTTCATTTTAGGGAGGAGGAATCACAATGTGTTCTGGGGTTGGATACTTCCCATATCCTGTACTTTACTTCCCCAGCTCAAACCAGAACTTAGACTGGTGACTCATTTGTGTTGATAACATCTTTCACAGACTTTTGAAAATAAGCTGCTCTTTGCGTTATGACAGTGCAGTATTTTTTTTGAGCCATCCAGCCACAGAAATGACACCCAGGCCCCAAGTAGGAGCAGACTTTCCTGGTCCCATAGTGCCTGTGCTGGTAACTCAGTGTGGTACAAGGTGTTAACTACAACTGCTCAGTACTTAAACATTACATGAGAAACCTTAATATATGACTGTTATGTTAATAACAACTCGTTTAAATTGTGGTATGTTGTTTTGTAGAGATATTAACTCTAAAAGAAGTTTTCCAAATTGCAAGCAATGGTAAGTGTAAAATACTTAATCTTATAGATATTACAAAGCAACAGTATTGTAGATTGCTTATTCAGAAAACTAGTGGAGTTAAGCCTGTAGGCTTAAGGTGACTAATTAAGGTGTAATTTGTTTCAATGATACTTAGGCACTCAACTGTCCTTAGTTCACTTGTAAATCCCTGCTTCGTGCACTGAAGCATTAAGGCAAATTGACAGTGTTTTTTACAATACTTAAACTGTATATATGGTTATTAAATAATGTAGAGTTATGCTACCAAAATTACTAAAAATAGTAAAGTGCTAGCTCACTTACTAAAGTCAGGACTGGATAAATAAACAAACTTTACCTCCCTAAAATGAGTTTGATAGTTCTCTTCCCTATTGTCAGAAGTTATTTTTTTTAGTTCTACTATATCCTCGTAGACAACTTATTATTTAAGTAAAGATTATACTTCTCTCAGTGTAAATTGCTTCATTACATTAGCAGCAAAAAAGACTATATACAGATTTTCATAATGTAAAGTTGTCTCTACTTACAGAAAAATTCTGTCTTTGAGGAAGAGTGGATGTTTAGGGCAGTTTGTAACAATTTGGTGACATTCATGTCTGGTTGGAATCCTTTCCTCAGCCCGGGTATTCATAGCAGTGAAATGATTATAAACAGACAAGAACAGTTCCTGAACGTGTTAATATGACAGAACTTTGCAATCATCTGTCTGTCTAACACAGTGATATAAAAGGATTTCTGCTCTGTTTCATAAGTCATTAGTTTATCAAAATGATCATAAATTCTCTCCTGATTGCAGACCACGATGCTGCCATTACCAGATACAGTCGGTTGTCAAAAAGAAGGGAAAATGAAAAGGTTTGTAAAACAAAATACTTAATATAAAGATTTTTAGAGGAGATAAGAAATAATTTTAATCTTATATGTATTTGTGATGCAAGACAGTGTATGGAAGATTCCACCTGACATTTGATAGTTTATGTTTTAGCAGCCTAGGCAGAAAAGCAGGTTTCCCCAACACATACCTGTCTTGGAAAACTGATAATGCTTTAGGGTTAAAATTGTGATTTCTTTTTGAAAAGATATAACCATACTTTTCATGGAGAAAAGAATGCTGTATTTGTTTTTCATGTATCTCATCTATAAATTAGAGATGCAGAATTGCAGAGTAAAATATGCAGTTGCTGGTGATAGAGGGTAGAACATGACTGTTGTTTTTCTGTGCTGTCTATAAAGCTGTTCAGAAGGCATGTGATCAATGCCAAGTCTCAAACATTACTTTTTTCCCCTCCCCTGTCTGTGTCTCTTCAGATCAAGGCTGAAGTTACAGAAGATGTATATACTTCCAGGAAAAAACAGCATCAGACTATGATGCATTATTTCTGTGCATTAAATACTCTCCAGTACAAAAAGAAAATTTCTCTGCTGGAACCCTTGCTAGGATACATGCAAGCTCAGGTAATTTCAGATTCTGAAACCTGTAGGTCTGAAAGAAGATGTAAAAGTACTTCATGAAGGTTGATGTACCGAAATCCATTGCAAGATTTTGTACTGCCCTGCAAGGAAGAAAATGGAGAAAAAGACCTACCCCATCCACTTCCTTGTAGCTACCACAGCTGCTGCCAGGAACAGTGTCTTCAGCCAGCACTAGCCATGAATCTCATCATGATATGCCCTCACTCCATCAGAGAATCTTTTAGGAAAGTCTGGGTGACAAATATAAAGGTTAATTCTACCCCAAAACCCAGATGGCTGAATTTGATACACTGCCAAAATTTCATTGCTGTGTACTTGATTCTGCTAATGGGAAGAGCTGATTAGAGCTTTCATGCAGGAGAGTCCCCATGGAAGTGAAGTGAACTTCCTCAGTTAAACTCATTCCCATGGCAGCTATTCTGAAATGACTTAATCATCAAAAGTCACCTCACTACCGTTTTCAATCAAGGGTGTGGAAGAACTGGAATGCTAAAAAGCATTCTGGCTTGTTTTTGCTTTATATAAATAAGTTCATTATTGGTTTATTTGAGGACAGGTGCAACAGAAAATACAACCATGATAAAGTTCTCTGGAGAGACTTAATTTGTATTTTCAGAAGTGTGTCATCAAATATGGGGGTTTTTTTAGAAGTCAAACTTCCCAGCATCTGGCACTGCCACAGTGACCTGAGCAGAAATTAACTTCTCACCCTGTCTGAAAGCTTTCCAAAGGCAAGGACTGTTGTTTCTTTTTCAGACTTTGCAGCCTGTATTTAAGAACCAAGCTCTGCATGTTTTGTGCAACAAAATAGGTGGTGCAACCTATTGTTCAGGTGCAGCTTTTTGCTGGATCTAAGAATGGGAAGGGCAGGGCCATTCCCTGTGGCTTCCTGTTCTGAGATTTCTTATGGCTAAACTCACTTTAGCTTTGTTGGGAATGAGAGATGAAAATAGATTTCTCTGAGAAACTTTAACCTATGACTTCATCAGTTGTTAATGTAGTTTTATTAATTACTAAATTCTCCTTTTTTTTTTTAAAGATAAGCTTTTTTAAAATGGGGTCAGAAAATCTTACTGAGCAACTGGAAGAATTTTTGACCAATATTGGCACAAGTGTACAAAAGTAAGTTGGTTTTGTTGAATTTTGAACTTTCATCAAGACAATTTTTTTTTTTGTTTCTACTTATTAATAAATTATCCTTGTTAATAACACATTATTTATCTTAGTGTTCGCAGGGAAATGGATTGTGAAGTAGAAAACATGCAACAAACCATAGAGGACTTGGAAGTGGCAAGTGATCCACTGTATTTGCCTGATCCTGATCCTACAAAATTTCCTGTTCATAGAAATCTAACACGGAAAGCTGGCTATCTCAATGCAAGAAAGTAAGAACTAACTTGTTAATTAAAAATTCCAGAATATTTAATTTTGGGAAAGGAAAGCTAAAAAAGCTGAAGAATTTTTTTGTTGATGTTAGCTATGCTGATTTTACATACTTAGTTAATTAAGTCCCATAGGAGCTATTCTGTTTCTTTCTTTGGACTTCTTCACCTAATTAGTATTAAATTCATTGTTACACTGACATAGTGTCATTTGGATACAAAGCACAATTACCCCCATTTTAGTCTAATCTTGCCTGAATTTTCACATCAAAACATAAAAAGTTTATGAGAGTATAATTTCCCTGCATTGTTATGGGAAAGTGTCAAGATTCCATCTCTCAGCTCTAAGCAAAATTTTGGAAATCTTGTTGAATGGTACGAAATACGTGGAAAACAGAGGTATCTTACATGACTAAGCTGGTTCTTAACACAAAGTTCTTCAAAACTTAGTCTTAGCAATGTAAGTGCAGAGTTCAGAGCTCCTGTTGGTAATGCATAGAATTTGAATATGTATATTTTGTAAAGCAGTGCTGTGAAAGCTGATCATCAGAACTGAAGTACTTATGCCTTTTTATTCTAAATTGTTTCATGTAATTTGAGAAAGCAATTATTATTATTTTGTGTGTTCTTTGCCCAGCAATAGGTTTAGCATGAAAAAACCAACAGTTGGAGAGACCTTAATTTAGCTGTAACACTGACCTAAAACATGAAATGGGGAATGGTTTATTCCAAGTGACTTCCAACTCAACTGAGCTCCTAATCCTCTAACTGGACCTCTTTTTATCTTTTAGTAAGACAGGGCTGGTATCTTCTAGTTGGGAGAGACAGTTTTACTTCACCCAAGGTGGAAATCTGATGAGCCAGGCCAGAGGGGACGTAGCTGGGGGACTTGTCATGGACATAGACAACTGCTCTGTGATGGCTGTGGACTGTGAGGACAGACGGTACTGCTTCCAGATAACATCTTTTGATGGCAAAAAGTGAGTGGTCTGACACTGCTGTTACCTGTGAGTAATGCTGGGCTCACCAATTAAGAAAAGAAGGATGGTCTGCCTCTGGGCAGATTATAGCTTGAGATATTTTTGTGGATATTTAGCAGCAAAATCTGAGATGTTTTAACTTCATTGAAGTCTGGATTTTTGTTTGTAAGTTCTATAATGTAGCTGAGTAGTATTTCAGAATAAGATTATGATAATCAATTTACAATCATGTATTATTGCATTTTGTGAGTACTGAAGTATTATGTGGACACAATTAGAACTTTGTTCTTTTTCTGTTTTCAATTAAATGAAAACATAAGTCCCTCCCTTCCCCAATTAGATGCTGACTGCACTCAGCACATACACAGAATCTTCAGCCTTTTGTAACTTGTTCAGTGTACAAAGATAAAATTTGAGTTTCCTTGCTGAATGTACTTATGAGGCATTTTAAATAGACAGAATTATCTTTTCCATTCTCCTCTTTCAGGTCTTCAATCTTACAGGCAGAAAGTAAAAAGGATTATGAAGAGGTAAGCTCCTAGGAGGTTCACATGGAGCCCAGTGAGTTTCTGGTGTGCAGAAGGAATGCATTTGTAAACCACAGTTGGACACTGCATATATTCCAGTTAGTGTTCTCCTTCAGGGAAAAGTTGAAAAGCCAGAAACAGGAGCCAGTGGTTTTCCAGAGCAGAGGGAGAAAACAGATTGTAGCTTTTAGATGCAAGAAATGGGCATGTTCCTCAAAAGTCAGATTGAATCTTTAGAATGTCTTGAGGAAACAATGTCATCTGCAGAACAGAATAATGGAATACAGAGAATCCTGATTTTTTTTTTTTTAATTACTTAGAGTTGTGAGTTAGCCTTTCTTTAGTTTTGATCTTTAGGGTGACTAAAATAATTTTTTCAGGTAAGAAAAGTGTAAGGTAAGGTGCAATATGCAGATGGTAGTTAATTTAATGGCAAGCTGGATGTGCAGAATATTTGGCTCCCTGAGATTACAAAGAAAGTAGAAAAAGTGCTGAAACTAGCCAACTCAGGGATTTAATCAAGTTTGTTAAAAAAACATGACAAATTCATTTATTTTCTTTTCTCTCCCTCTTTTTCAGTGGATATGCACCATAAACAACATATCTAAACAGATATATCTAAGTGAAAACCCTGAGGTAACTATTAAGACTTATAGTAATCAGTAATATGTTAAGAAGTAATTATGTAAAATTAATAGCATAGAATTAAGCCAAGTAGTTCTTACATGTGTAATGTGAAGCTTTTCATGGTATTAATGCATGGAGTCCATTGTCTCCTTCATCTAAATGCTTATATGGAAGGTATTAAAAATACATGACCTTTATATTTGGTGTAGCCTTTTGACATTTTCAAGATCCTGTATTTGTATATGACACTCTTTTAAAAATAGTATCACAAATATTCAAATGGATACATTTAATTTCTACTAGAGGGAAGTGACAATTTTATGAATATGAATTTTATAAGCATAACGATTTTGTAGAAAAACCCCTGATCTTCCAGGCTGAAATGGAGTGTGTCACTCCAGGTTTTGGTTTAGGAACTAAATATAACTTTGTAGATAATACAAGTACCTGGCTGTCTAAGTTAACTGTACAGATGGGAAACAAACCAGTTGCAGTGCAGAGCTCATTTCTGATGAAGGTAGAGCACATTTCTGATGAAGGTAGAGCTCAGGTTCTGTTTACTCCTGGCATAAAGGGGTTCAGTCCCCTCATATCAGTGAAGGGGGGGGTGTGTTCACACCTTCTCCTCACTTCCCAATGTCTTCGTAGCCATTCTCATTTTCTGAGTCATACACTCCCCAAAATATTGCTTCATTGTTGTCTCCTGCACTTTCTCTCTCCAAAAATTTTTTCCTCAAGGACTTTCTCTATTGGCTCTACCTCAGGAAGTGAAGGCATCAGCATTAAGCATTGATCAGAATTAGTGATTTCAATGAAAGATTAAAATGGAATTCAACTGTAAATGGTCCATCATTTGCTGAAATAACTGTTACGTAGTTCTTAATTGATAGTTTTTAATCTTCATGGGGTTTAGTTTGCAGTTGAGGGCTGCATTTCTCAAATGAGATTTTTCTTTTTTTCCCTGGCTACATTTGCTTATTTTTCCAGGCTTATTATTGGGACTTTTCTCTCATTTTCTCTATTTTGCCTCTATTTTTGCTATTGCTTTTATTAACAGTGACAGTATTGTAAAGCAAGAGTGTTCACTTAAATTGAGGAAGTTAACATCAGGATATGTGTTACAAGAAAGCTAGAAGAAAATACTGCAGCTGTGTAGTGAAAATTTAGGAATGCAAGATTCTCACAAAGGGTTGAGTTTATAACTTCTGTCAGTAGCATATAAATAAAACTAAAATCTGAAAGCTTATTTTGAGACAAATGTTTTCAGTTATTTTTTCCTATCTCTGCCCTGCAGGAAATGGCTGCTCGTGTCAATCAGTCAGCCCTGGAGGCTGTCACTCCATCTCCCTCCTTTCAGCAGAGGCACGAGAGCATGAGGCCAGCTGTGTAAGTGCATGAACTAGGGGTCATTGGAATAGCACATCTATAGAGAGAATCCTGGATAAAGTTCCAGGGGGAAAAAGATACCCAAACAAACCCACAGTAGTTTCTGTGTTCAGAACTAAATCTTTGATAGGCTCAAGGAGGATTTCCCACACTCACCTTCCTACCATTGTTCAGCATCCATTGTTCCAAGCAATCCTGATGCCACTGGCTGACACCTTTGGTGGTTGCATCGTATGTCTGGTTTGTTGTGTGATTTCAGAATGAGAGTTCTCGACTCCTGGAAGCAGACCTCAGATTGTATTGATTATATGTTAATGTTAAAACAATCTGATGTAATTATTAATGCAAATAGTAACTTTAACTTACTTAAATTTGATAGGAGCATAGACTCTTTTTTGTTTACTGTACCCTGATTTTCAGGTTTTCAGTTTTTGTTTTGTTTTACATCTAAGTTCTAGAATATTACATTGGTCTCCTCTGTGGTTTAACTCTCCCTCATTTTGATGTTTTGGTTTTGTTGTAGACAATCTCGTCCTCCTGCAGCTCGTACCAGCAGCACAGGGTCACTGGGATCTGACTCAGCAGCTTTATCAGCACTTTCCTTGGATTCACTTGTTGCCCCTGACACTCCTATACAGTTTGACATAATATCTCCAGTTAGTGAAGATCTGCCTGGCCAAGCAAAGTCTTCGGGGCAATCGAGCAGGTAGGAAATGGAGAGAGAAGGAAAAAATTCCTGAAGTTAATGTTACTAATTCAAAACAAGAAAACCACGTTTAAACTGCAGCTCCCAAACACACATTGCCTTCTCCCTGACTCAAGTCACAAAATGTGCAGTGGCCAGTGAAGCAAAACAATTCATTTAATTGTTAAATGGAATTTTTAAAAAAGGCTTAATTACATGCACTAGAGTCAAGGTGTAGTTTTCTGGTTTGCAGCAGCTTTTCTTGCTTTAACAGCCAATGCTTTTATTTATTGATTTATTTTAATCTTTCGGTTTTACAAAGTATTTTCCTTTCCTATTGCTTGCTCACCCAGCAGCTTGGGTTATTTCCTCTTGGAAACTCAAGAGAAATTTGGTAGCCCTGCCTCCAGGTGATGATGGCATACGATGACACTCTTCTTAACCTGAAAGGTGAGTGAAAATGATCTAGGCTTCTGGAGTGATTTCATAGACAGACAAGTTAAAATTATCTAAGAGTTCATCCCAAAACATAAACGCAGTTTCTCCACTTGTTATTATTTTTGAGTGGGAGATTTATTACAAACCTAAGACCTGTAAATCTGCACTACATTTCTGGAACTATAGCTGCAAAATTCAGATGTTAAGAAAATGCAGTTGCAGATCCAGCTGCTCTTAACAACAACAAAAAAAACCCAAAGAGCTGAAATGAGATTCTAGTCACTATAATGTGTTATATCCCCTGCCCTCTAGAAAAATACTTGAAACTTGAATGACATAAGAGTTAAAATTATATGTTCATGTCATCAGTTACAGTTCTTTCTAGAAAACCATGTTTTTCATAGCAGAAATGATAGAGTTGTACTCAGCATTTTCAATTAACCACCACTTTCAATGAAACACTGCAGTGTTTGTACAGACAGGCAACATGCTACTTTAGAAATATTAATTATTAAAAAAATAAAAATACTTTCCTCATTTCTAATACTGATGACAAGTATTCACATTTTATTTTTGCCTTTTGAGAGATCCTGTGAGATTTTGCTTTTACTATTGCAGTTTAATCTTAAATAACAAGAAGAGTCTGAGTGGTAGAAGATCCTTATAGAAAGAATTTGCCTTTAGTGTATTTACCCAGGTCAATTTAATGGGAAGGTTCTTGATTGAATCCATGTTATCTAAACATTGTAGCAATGCCAGGTTGACTTCAGAGTTCTATTTAGAACAGTTTTTTTCTCTTAGTTCTGAAATTTATGGTTAGAACACTATTGAGAGGTCACACCTTCATTACTCCCAGATAAAACCTAATTTGAAGTTTATTGAACCCTTGCCAATAGCTTTTCACATATCAGTTAGGCAAAGAAAAAGGGTGATATCCTCTTTACAATAAATAAAATGTCCCCATTTCCTGTGCTCTTTTGAGCATTACTTTAGTGCTTTTGAAAAATGAAACTTGGAAGCCTAGAGTATTTTCACTTTTCTTTGTAACCAATGGCAGTTCTGTCTTTGAGAGCCAGAAATAGCCACATTTCTCTTGACCCTCTAGGAGTAAAACCCCAGTGATGTTTTCAGAAAGCTGCATTTCAAACAAACCCAGTCACTTCTCTTCAGTAAGAAATTCAACACCTTGAGACAGTGATGAGAAGTGGGTGCTCCTACAGAGTTCTGAAAGGACCAGCTTTTGGTTGTGCTTCCTGAAGCTGTTCTGTGAAATTTCATCCCTAAAACTACACCTTTCCAAATATTAACAAGGTTTTGATTTGGGCTTAATTCAAATATAAAAAAAATATTATGTGAGCAAAACTTTCTATTGCAGCAATAGGACAACAATATCTGATATTTGTCCCATAATGGGGGCCCTCAAATACAGCAATTTATGGCTCACTCCTGATTAAATTGCCTGTTCTGGTGATTCACCATACTCCAGATTCATATTCCTCCAGATTACAAGTTTCTGAAATCATTACATGTTGGTATTTGACACAGCATGAGACTACTACATTATCCATGAGTGGTTCCTGTAATCTGACTCCTGGTTTAATGTTTTCATTTTTTAATAGACGCACAAATCCTTTTGGTGAATCTGGAGGCTCAAAATCTGAAACAGAAGGTAAAACAACAGTTTTATTTCAATGCAAAATAAAAATAGAATTTGAAATTAATTTTCTGTTTTCATCTCTAGTTTCTCTCTTCTAATTTAACACCAATTTTAGAATGCTTAGTTACATTGCAGTGTATTTGACCAGTCGAGCGAAATCATTATACTGTCTGAAAATGTGTTGTAAAAATAATTCATTGCATCTTTTGCATTCATTAAACCAAATGAGAAGATGTGTGGCGTGCTGTTTGGTAACTGTACCTCTAATTGCTGAGTATGAGCACTCCTCTTTTTAGGAGAAGTTTGGAGTTTCCCTGACTGCAGTCCAGCTTGGGTTTTGAAGGGAAAACCCAAAATGGAGTTTGCTTTTTTCAAATACTTTTCTTTTTTCTTAGATTCAATTCTTCATCAGTTATTTATTGTGAGATTTCTTGGCTCCATGGAAGTGAAGTCTGATGAAAGCCCAGATGTTGTTTATGAAACAATGCGTCAAATCCTTGCAGCTCGTGCCATCCATAATGTTTTCAGGATGACAGAATCACATTTGTTAGTCACCTGTGACTGTTTAAAGTAAGTTTTGCTTCCTGACTTCTACTCATGTTTATTTACAGAATGATCTTCTTTCACTTTGGTAAAATTTACTTTCTGGTTTGTCTTTAAAACCAAATTTTTAGGTTAATTGATCCACAGACACAAGTTACAAGACTACGAGTAAGTAACTTTACATTTTAAGATTAATACCCAGCAATGTAATTATACCATTTTAAGATTAATACCCAGCAATATTATTACATGACAGTAAAAATCACTGATAGCATGAGATTTCCAGCCAAATTTCCACTGAAATCAGGAGACTAATGCAGACATGTAAAAATAGAGAGAAAAACACCTGCTAATCAGATTTAAGGAGAGTGATTTCAATAGGTCAATTTGGCTTTTGAAACCCCTTCCCCCCATGATCTGAGAGGGTAAAATAGTAAAGAGAGAATATAAAGGTTGGAGTCACATTAGTTCTGAAGTCCAAACGGGTTTGTCTGGTGTTTTGTTTTGTTTTGTTTGGGGTTTTTGGTTGTAATGCATAACTACATTGAGGGTGTTGAATGGTTTCTGGTTTGCTCTCGTTTTTTTCTAATGCGTTATAGAAATGCACTTAAAAAGAATAAGTGGAATTCTTGTCAGGGTATCAAATAAGACCAGCTTAAATCTTCAGTAATAGCAGTCTTTACTTTTCATATTTCAAAACTGTTCCCCCTCCCCCTCTTTATGCACAATTTCTGGTGTGTCATTTAATTTCTTTCCATTTTTGAAAACATTCCATTTTTTTTGGAGGCTCTAAATGACTTGAATTTCCATGAAAGGAAATTTTAAGGACATGAAAATGTCTTGATATTTCAAGTAGGACTTTTTTCTTTCTTTACCTTTGTGACTTTAATTTCAAAAGTGCCCCAAAGCTGTTATCTTTAACAGGTGAGATACATCAACTGAGGGCACATCCCCTGTGCTAAATGCAAACATCTAAGGTTAGGAAAAACTCCTCCTATCAGTTTATAACAGCTGGAGTAGGGGCTTTCAGAATTCTAAAATGTATCCTTTGGTAAGTCTTAAAAAGATACATTTGAAGTCCACTCTCTTTCAGGAATAGGAATGCAAAATAGTTTTCATGTAACAAAGTAACGAGGGGATGTGGTTTGTTTGGTTTGGGGTTTTTCTTTCCATTTTTTTTCCTTTTTTTTTTGTTTTATTTATGTAATTCAGGAGAGCTGAGCTGTTGGCAGGTTTTGGGGAAGTAGTGCCTTTACCTGGCACTAAATATTGGAAACTTAGTCCCCAATGTAACTAGTATGAAAGACTAAAAGAAAATAAAAAAAGGAATGTACCACATTTAGGAAGATGACTGTCTTGCACTGCAAATGTGGTCCCCATTTTTTACATGGAGTATGTTTTTAGAAGTTTGCCTGTCTTTTGAGTAATTTAATCCTTTGCTGTCTCATCTCCTGTTTGTGTTCTGTAGTTACATGTCTGGTCAGGTTGTAACTTTTGTGCTGTGATTGTGCATTTATGATATTGAAGATAATTAATGTGAAACCTCATCTAGAAAATATTTGGACCCACTTTTAACCTCTCCACATTTGATCCTCTTGGCAGTTCCCTTTGCCCAGTGTAGTTCTCTGTGCTACACACCAGGAGAATAAACGCCTGTTTGGATTTGTGCTTAGAACCTCAGGAGGGAGAGCTGAGAGCCGCCAGACTTCCATCTGCTATATATTTGAATCAAATAATGAAGGGGAAAAGGTATTGCTGATGGTTATAACTTGTATCAGTTTTGAATCTGACATGGATTCCAAGATGTTAGATCCATTCAAGCTGTCTAAGGGATTGTTTGTTAATTTACTGAAAAACAGTTAAACCTCTCAGTTTAACTACCTGTAAGTGCTTTAATGTGTTGTTATGTCTAATTGGGGATGCTGGCTTAATTGTAGAGGCATTTTGATTAGCCTTTTTTTATTATTTCCTATGTGTTTTGTGTTTAGATTTGTGACTCTGTTGGACTGGCCAAACAGATAGCTTTTCATGCAGAACTGGTAAGAACATTTTCCTCTTCTGTATATTTGTGAATGGAAGGAAGAGGGCATATTTAATATGTGTAATAGAACACATTCTGCAACATACTTACAGATGCACTAATACTGTTGTGTAGTGCAAGGGATTTGTTTCCTAGGATTTAAACTCAAATAAAAAGACTAACCAATGTCTACTGTGGGACAATATTCAGTATAGGATTTAGCTTGCTACCTTTAACAGCCATACCAGTCCTTTAAAAGAAGAATAATCGAAACAGTGATGTCACAGTCTTGAGCAAGCTCATAGCAATCAGTACTGTATCAAATGTCTCAGGTTGTTACTTACTTTATTTACATTTTTACCCTTTAGGATCGAAAAGCAACAGAAAAGCAGAAAGAAATCGAGAGAGTCAAAGAGAAACAACAAAAAGAGCTGAATAAACAAAAGCAAATTGAAAAGGTAAGTTTCGTCATTATTTCTTAACATTAGGTTTTTTCTATTTCCTTTCTTTTGCAGTTTTGTACTCCCTGCTCCACTATCATACTCTTCAGTACAGGTTCATAGAGCATTATGAAGTTAATTATCATAAGTGTTTCCTGTGCAGATTTTGTATATTTTTGCATAGCGGTTTTTAAAAAGAGCTCTTTGAGGATATGAATGACAAAACATCTTTATAAGAATACTTAAGAGCAGTGCTTGAAGGAACACCTATCACAGACACAAAATAGTTTCATTTGCTGACGAGGGTTCATTCACACAGGGAGGAAATGGGCTCAACAATCACAGAATCGTTTAGGTTGGAAAAGATCTTTGAGATCACCAAGGCCAACCATTAACCCAGCACTGCCAAGCCACCACTAACCCATGTCCCTTAGTGCCACATCTACATGGCTTTTAAACTCCTCCAGGGATGGTGATTCCAGCATGGCCCTGGACAGCCCGTTCCAGTGCTTGACAGTGCTTTTGGTGAAGAAATTTTCTCTAATATCCAATTTAAACCTCCCCTGGTGCAACTTAAGGTCATTTCCTCTTATTATATTGCTTGTTACTTGGGAGAAGACACTGGTCTCCACCTGGCCACACCCTCCTTTCATGCAGTTGTAGGGAGTGAGAAGGTCCCACCTGAGCCTCCTTTTCTCCAGGCTAAGTAACCCAAATTTCCTCAGGTGTTTCTCACCAGACTTGTGCTGCAGCCCCTTCCAGCTCCATTGCCTTTCTCAGTGTAGCTGAGGATGGTTTTTCTGGCCTGCTGTGCCCTGTGGGTTGTAGGTACAGCTGTGTTAACCTGGGAGCTGTTCTAATAGTGCAGCTGCTGAAAGGTGAATGTTTTGGTTTCCTATTCAGTCTTTTCATTCCTTCTGTACAAACCTGTCCAGTGATAGTACTGATAGTTTAGAAATCATAATAATGGTATCCTTCTGTCAATTCCAGATGGCTTTAAGGGTAATATTCTTGTTCTGATTTCCCAACCCCCTCTCCTCACATTAGGACTTGGAGGAGCAGAGCCGGTTGATAGCTGCTTCCAGCAGATCCACCCAGAGCAGTGGAGAAGGACAGTTTGTAGTCCTGAGCAGTAGCCAGTCAGAAGACAGTGATTTAGGAGAAGATGGAAAGAAGAAGAGAGAATCCGAAGCCTAAGGCTGCCCACTTCATTCAAATTGGAATCATGGATATATCTGGTGAAAAGGCACAAGTTCTACAAGAAGTGAAATGTAGGTGGTGGGTCTGTTGTATTATAGAAAAGACTTCTCAATATATAGACCCTATTATGCCTTGATTTTTATTTCTCAGTTAAGTGATTTCCATTTTCCTGTCAGTATAATTTCTCTTCCGTATGCCAGATGAAGCATGGTGATGCTGCCATGTTTATTAGAAATCTGTTTTCTCAAGGCTTCTCTACAGTATGGAAAAAAAATGTGGGTTTTTTCCCCACTTACTTCTCTGTGCAATTAACTGCTTTTGAAGCAAAACTTAAAACTCCCTTGGGCTTCAGCAGTACATGAAACTCGTTCTATACACTGCACTATGGAGAACACCTTGCTGGAAACAGAAGTGAATGTCCAAATAAGACAGTGCTAAGCTTTACCCAATTTGTTGCACATAACTGTTCTTAGATTTAGAAAGAAAAATCCTTATTAACATCAGTGAGATGTGCAATAGTTCTAGACAGAAGGATCGTTTCTGTTTCATTTTGCACTGTATGATATTGCATTGGGGTCTTTTTGGAGTGAATATAATGCTGAAAGACTTCTTTCAACAGGAGAAAAAGATACTGTCAGACCTAGATAAGAGCTGATGAGATGCAGTTGAACTTTGCTGCATGAGGAAAAACATTCCTCATCAAATTATAGGAGTAATGTATATAGCCTTGTAGCACAAGTGCCATGTTCTTGGTTTTTCCCCAGTACTTGGAATAAAGAGCTGTAAGCCTTTGAGTTCACTTTTATAAAACATGCTTAGAGTTGCAAGAACATTTGGAATTCCATCATTTGAAAACTCTTCAGCCTATGTAAATGCATTGATGCCAGTACACTACATCTACTGCAAAGGAGTTAAGGCTCTGTAAGTCTTTCTGTAAAAAGCAATTTTGCAAACAGAATTTTCCATTTCTGAAGTAAGAGACAATGCTAATCCTACATCCCAGAGTCAATCCTGGAAAGCATTTTTCAAAGCAGTGTCTGTTTACAGCTTGTAATCTGCACTCCATATTCCATACCCTGTGTAATATTTATTTTGTATAGTGTTAGATGTGCATTCACCTTTTGATCCAGAAGAGAAAACTTGTTTGAAGAGAAATATTTATTTTTGCACTAATTACTATAAATATTAAAATCCAGTGGAACAGAAGATAGATAGCTCTCTAATAGTGGCATGAAGATAACAGGATATGTAGAGAGAGAAGAATATACTTATACTCCAAGTTATAATATAACAGTTATGAATGGTTTACAGTTCATTGCAGGGCATTTCTGGTGTTCAGGAATGGAAGCAATTTTCAGAGTATCTCCCCAGCAGCTGGTGATGGCCCAACCCTTCATAGCTGGAGCTGCTCAGTGCTGATGAAGTCAGTGAGGAATCTCAGGTCACATCTGTAGGTGCACAGAGGGCTCTCCTTGCACACTGGAGTGCCCTGCACTGGCTAAAGCAGCTCCTCCTGCCCTTGGGGCTGGAGCTGTGACTGTGTGTGCAGGAGTTCACTGATCACTCCTGAGACAGGAGACAAGGGCAGCAGTGCCTGTCCTTGCAGCAGGACAAGCAGACAAGCAGGAGTTGGAGCAGCTCCCAGCAGATGTTGGTGGCACCACTGAAGGGGTCACAGCACCCCTGGCTTGAGGGGGAAGCTGAGCAGCAAACTACAGGTTCCCTTCCCAAGTTAATTCCCAGGCCCTGTTCCAGTGCATTTTTCAGCCCCAGAGCAGCCCGACACTTGCAGAAATACCTGCTTTGGCTGTTGCCCAGTGAGGCCAAATGGTATTGCCCTGTGGCCAGATTTGGCTACCACACAGTCACATGGACCACACCAGCCTGAGGCTTAAGAGAGTGGCATTTTTATTTCATATCTAATATCCTTAAGAGACTATATTAATTCTTTCCCACAAAAATGTACAGAGAGGCTGAAAATTTAAATTTTTCCCATTTTGGACCTAAATCAAGGCTTAGGGAGAGTGGCTTAGGGAGAGTGCAGTGCAGCCAGTTTGTCTCTCCAAATTATTCCGGTTCACGTTTCATTAGTTTGGGGAGTTTGTTTGTTTTTATTTACTGATATTTCTGTTTTCTATCAAATAATATCACAGGGCAGCTCAAGGTTGCTGCTATGACTTGTATCTTTCTCAAGTACATGCTAAAGATGAAGTAGTTTAGAAACAGCACAGGAAGACTATGAAATCAATGATCTCCAGTGTCTAGAACCCAGTCCTCCTCTGGTCAGGGAAGGATCGTGTTAAGCACTTGAGCTGCAGTAGCCCAGGCTCCAGAGGGAGGACAGGTAATAGATGAGCAGTCTCATGACAAAGCATTTCTGATGTGTAGCCTGTTCTGCATTAGCTGTATTGAAGAAATGTCCGAAAATGGAATTACTGTATTTTTTCTTGAAACCTACTATTACAGTTTTAGATCTAAATCTGCAAAGATGAGGAAGAAAGGCAAATAAAGTGGCAGGTGAATTCACCACTGTATGGGATTTTTCAGATTCAGCAATACATGATTGGAATTATTCCATTTGATTTTCAGGCTTTCCATTGCCTGAAATGTAGTTTCCCATTGCTGTTAAATGTGGTTTTCTAAAAGAGACAGCATAGGAGTGAGGTGCATTGCACTTGTGTTGGATGGTTTTCATCTTAACCACTTAAAGAAGGGGACATGATTGAAGAGAGTAAAGAAAACAGATTGATCTTCATGAATGAAATGAGTGGGTTGGTTTTTTTGCTTATTTAGGGGAGTTTCACTGGTATAAAATGAGCAAGAAGGTCAGCAGAGGGGAGGAAGTCAGATGGGAATGGTGCATTGAGTTATCAGGGGGGTGAGAGCTTTGCCCAAGGGAAGGATCACACAGCTCTATAATTAGAATTCTCTCAAGGCAAAAGGAGCTGCTGAGTTATTATCCATGGTCTCCTTCCCAAAATAAAAAACTATTTGGTACCTTTTCTTCCTATGAGGTCTAGAACTACTTCATTAGAAAACAGTTTTGTTAATTAAAAAAAGAAATCAGAATGCTTAGTATTTTCCTTGAGAACATGACTTTTACTGGGAACACCTTGTGTTCTGCTGGGAACTGCTGTGGTAGGATTTCATCACCTGAGCATTTTATTATTGTGACTAAATTACTGGTTGATTTCCTCTCCTGTGATTTATTTCTCCTGTTTATTATTTCCTACTGCCTTTTACTCAAAGGCTGATCTTTCAAGTACTTCCACCTGAAGCTGTAGTTTGCTTCATGTGCATCTACTATTATTTTAGTCACTCCTGAAAACATTCTTTCAAGTCCATGATTTTGAAGTGACTTTGTGCAGGTACTGACTGGCAGAGGTGTTCAGGATTAACTTGTTATGTTGCTAATTTCAGCCTCATAGTTCCTGCCACAATTTTAGCCCTTAGGTGAGGGGATGTTAACCTTGTAACTCTGTAGGTTTTCATGCTGCAGAACAAGCAAGTCTTGCTGTCAGCTGTTTCAAGCTACATACATTCTTTATGTATGTAATGGCATGTATATAAAACATATCCAGTGTGCTTATGGGTGTGCATTTTATTGCATTATAGATAATCCCTGGCACTCCTCTGTGGGCTCTGGTAGATGTGGCCAAGTCTAAAGCAGAGCACAAGGGCAAAGTCATGTACAACTTAACCATGTATAAGTGGTTACAAGCAAGTAGTGTAAAGTCATTTGAATGTCATAGTCTTGCTTCTTTAATCTGTTTAGGTTTGAAATTGTATCAAGACAATTTACTATCTAACAGTAAAGTAATATTTCAGGGTTAAGGAACATTTCCTCTTATAAAGTTGTCAGATTTTGTCAGATTTTCTCTTTATATGGATGTAAACTCAGAGCTGAAAATCCTGAAACAGCTGAAGCGATTTATGAAGCTATAATTTATGTACATTGATATAAAGAAGTAAATTTGACTGTGTTTATGTTTTAAGGTAAATTCTGATTAAGTAGTTGCACAGAATTTGGGAAGAGCCAATGGAGAAAACTGTTAACAATATAGTCTCTTGTTATTTCAGAAATAAGTCACGTAGAGAAAGAAAACCTGCCACTGCTTAGTGAATTTAATAGAGATATTGTCTAGCCTGACAGCAAAAGCTGATATTTTATATTATTTCTCTTGATCTATATTACAAAAATTCTTGCAAGGTAATTAGTCTCCAAGGCTTTTCTTTTTAATCAAGCACTAAGTTGCTTTTCTTTTTTCCTTTGCCACAGTGGTATCTAAGTTGTCATGACAAGAATAAGTCAGTGTGTCATTGTGAATGCACTTGTATTCCTAATGAACTTTGTATTGCAAGACAAGGACTTTGTACAATCTTTCTGGTCATTTTTATAATAGAGTGGAGTGGTCAAATTCTTACAATGATGTTCTGGATTGGTCCTGTTCTGGTGAAATGTCAGTGATTTTTGCAATGTTTGAGACTGACTTGCACATTTTCCCTGAATAGCTGTATTAAAAACCACCAATGGCATATTTATGTCAACTCTGATTGTTGTGTCTTAATCTTGGAAACATGGACAGTAACCCTATTGTGCCAGGGCTCCAGTCAGCATTTTGTAGATTAAATAAAAGCTTAACTCTCATAACTTTCTGGGTGGGACTTGTACTGATGCAAAAGCCTCCTGCATTTCTCATAATACTGACTTTCAGGAAGTACCATTATTGGTGACAGGACGTGTTCCCTTCCATTAAACAAAGCTCTAACATGCAGTTATCTCCCTCTGTCATCAAGTGTAGCTCAGTTCTCTCCATTTCCATACCTATTGCCAGATAACCTCAGAGGAAGTTGTTATACTTGGGAATGCTGATAACTTATTTTTGCAACAATCCAGGGCTGAAGCTGAGGAGGAGCCATGGCAGGGGCTGTGCAGTGCCCGTGGTGGGGCTGTGGCAGGGGCTGTGCAGTGCCCGTGGTGGGGCTGTCACACAGGACAGTGACAGGCCCTGCAGAGCTGGTGTTATGGGAACAGCACAGCACCAACCTGGGTACTGGACTCACCTTCACGGGCTTCAGTAGGTTACTATATGATAAGCACCATGTAAAAAGCCATGAGTCATAACTACATTATGGTTAAATTTGTATTTTATAAGGTTTGTAGATTTTTCTGGGGAAAAGCAGACTTTTGAATTCTGTAACTTCCGTGATAAAGATGCATGTATAACTAGAAAAAAAAAATATATGCTTACTTGATAATGAAGGAATAAATACTACTAATGCCAAATGTGTTGAACTTCTTTTTTTTTCTAAAATATTGACTGACATTTGCAGTACTGCTAGAAAGAATAGGTGTGCTATAGGTATTCTTAATTCTAAGACTTCCTAAAATAACAGTGCTCCGAAAGCTTAAGCTGCAACTCTATGGAGAGAAACTCCAAAAATTGCAAGCATGGCTTTGGCCAGCACTGTAAAAGGAAAGCCTAGTTCTAGAGAGAAAGTAATCCAAGTCCACTGTGGATGAGAGGAACCAGTCCCTGAGCATGAGCTGCAGAACTAACAGCTTTCAGGAGTGCTGCCCTGTTGAAACACTGGTATGTCACAGGAGCTGCTGGGATAAGCAGAGGTTTCTGTAGCTTAATCCCATTACCTTGCCTAGAATGTGGGATTGCTTGATAGGGTGACCAAAAAAAAAAAACCACCTACTTGAGCTGCTCTTCAGAAGGTCACTGTAGAACCTCACAAATAAAAACTACTTCTTGTCAAAAGAAGAGGAAGTACAAGAGAAAAAAGAACTACGTCCCTTCCTGGTTTTAGTTAAATCCCTGACCTTTTACTAAATCCTCGGTTTAACCCTGCAGTGGGGGTAGGGTTATCTGATCCAACAGGGTTTAACTGAGCAGTAACACAAGGATTGCAGCCCTGCATTTTACATTTCCTCAACATGTCACAGTAGGCATTTAAAATACTGTTGCCACAACTCTCAGGTAGGTCATATTCCAGGAGATACATAGAATGGGATCACCAATATTTACATTTTGGGGTTCTTCCCCAGTTTCTTCAGGGGGCGAGGGGGGAATGCTGGCATTCCTTAATACACATAGGAGATAAAATCCCCAAAGAAAAAAGCAGCTGCACAACAGTCTTATCCACGATAACATTCCCTTCAAAATATAGAGCTAAGACCTATGTACAGCTGAGGTTGTAGATTCCTGTGAAGTTTTCCTGTCCATAAAGGTCATATTCCTTGTACAGTATGTAGTCTTTCAGGCAGTTTGGCAGTGGAAGGAAGGTCATGAAGACAGGACAGCGGAGACGCAGCCGGCCCATGCATTCCCTGATCTTCAGACGACAGAGATGCTTCAGAGAGCGAGGATTTGCTAGAAATGAGAATGCAAATTAAAATTCTACCAGCAAAAAGGCCTCAATGCCCAAACAGCTTGTTTTCATTTCAAATGTAAACGGATACTTACTTAAAATGAAATGGATGTCTGGCCAGAGTTTCTGTTCTTTGAGAACTGCTTCAAGCTTCCAGCAGATCTTGACGTGATCAACGTAGTCTAACATCACTCGCACTACCTTCCCAGACACATGCTTCAGCCAGGACAAGGTTATCACTTCACAGAACTGAGAGAAACAGAATGTTTAATGGGATACTATTCAATACTACTGCAAATGATTTCTGTCTATGCAGGACAAGAGCAACTGAATAACTTGAGGAGAATCCAAGGCAGAACGAGTGTTCTGTCACTCAAGGGGCTTCAGAGGCTGTCATAGCTTGCATTAAGCCTCACCAGTAGAATCTGAAAATCTGAGAGATGGTTATTTTGTACTAGATCCAAAAATAAACTTAAGCAACTGTATATTTGGTACCTAAGTGCTTAAAAAAAAGTGCTACAAATACCTAAGGGGAATTTAGACTCCTGTCCTAGCATGGTGAACAGGGGGATCCACCAGCCCAGTGCACCCCTCAGCCCTTTATCTTTAGGTTAAAGGGTTTATTAGTTTCAAATGGACTTTACAAACTGCTACTCGATGACACTGATGGGTGTCTCCAGGACCCTCTTTAGGTTGGTCCAGGCTTGTCAACTGCTGCTCAGTGCTTATCCTGCCAGCTCCAGGGTCTTTAGAACAGCCTTCCAGTGTTGGTGTTACCGTGCAGGACAAGGCAGGGAGCCAGCCTGCAAGTCCCTGCTCTCACTGCATGGACAAGACTGCTCTGGAAAACCAATGCCTTAGTGATCATTAGATATCATAAGCTATTTTTTCACAAATCAGAAATACAGTTTGCAATCATTTGCTGCCATGAAGCAGGCCTCGTGGCAACATCTATTCGATTTTAAAACCTTGTCTATTCCTCTCTTTATGTATAAACTGCCTTACAGTTTCAAACCTCCCTTTTCTGACGCTGCACTACGTCCCTTTTCATTCAGTTTTAGGAGGGATACTGGTAGCAGCACAGCACACGGAGCCGTGTGCTGCACTCACCATCGTGTCTTTGATGACAGTGGAGGTCCAGCCGTCAGTGACATACTGCGAGTGGCAGTGGTTTCCCCCGGGGCAGTCGAAGCAGCGCTGCACGTTGTACCCGTAGTTGAGCAGCATCCTCAGCATGACCTCGTCCTTCAGGGCGTACTGCAGCGCCGAGGGGAAGTGCGTGGTGTTCACTCTGCAGAAGTAATTCACGTTGGCCCCGTGGCGGAGCAGCAGGTTCATTAACTCGTAATTGCCCATTCTCAGGGCGATTTGCAGACAGTTGATGGGATCCTGGTTTGTCAGGGCTCCGGCGTTCAGCAGCAGCCGCGTGGAACAGAGATCCCCGTTGGACACAGCAAAATACAGGGCTGATTTGCGGTGGTCATCGTAGCCTTTGCGAACTCGCTGATCCAGCATAAAATTGGCATCAAACCCAGACTTGAGGAGAAACTCAAGGCACTGTGGATGTGCTCCTGCTGCTGCTGAGTGAACTGGACTTATCCCACTTTCTTTAATGGCAGCAAAATCAGTAACTGGAACTAAATATTTCAGGGCTCTGAAAAAATCAAAAAAAAGAAGAATCTCAGGTTCTTAAACATATTGCTTCACTTAATTCATCTTGGAATTTCTCTGTGTTGCTGGACTTCAGAATTCATCATGACTAAAAATCATCTTAATCTACTAAATCAGTACCTTGACAAGTATTGACTTGAATTGCTAACAATTAAATTTCAATGGATACTGACTTAACACCTGCTACACATAAAATATTATTCTATTATACTATAATAGAATAAAAATATTAATCTGTATTCCATTTATATTTATTTATTTATTTGTTTATTTCATTAACAACCCCACTCCTTGCTAGAGGTTTTCTTTTCAACAGAAGCTTTTCCTAAATGTCAAGAGCACAATGTTATTGCTTAACCTGTAGGAATTAGGTAATTAATAGAATATACTATATTTTAACATGAATACATATAATCTAAAATATAATATATATATTTAAGTTTAAATGTAACTTAATACATTTAAAATATTCCCATAGGAATTAAGAATCCTCAGATTCTTGTTTCTCACTTACTGGTTGTGATTTTAGCTAAAATATCTTCCAGTAACCTTACTGTCTTTTAAAAAAGGATAACTCTTATTCCCTAACTCTATTTGCCTATTTGGTATATTCACCTTGCTGTGATAGGATGGAAATGAGACACAGACCCAAAGAGAGTGAGGACATCCCGAGAGTGAGGACATCCCAAGAACCTCAGCATCAGCCTTGACAGTGTTATTATTTGTGACAACTAGGGAAATACTACAGGGATTAAAACGTTTAGGATAAAGTGATTTTATGCTGACTGGTCTCTTACATTCAGACACAGAATGGTATATTTACACAGTCAAATACAATTCCTTGTACAAAACTTCAGATTTGCTGCCTGCTTTGAATGAGAGAGAATTAGCAAAATTAATATTTCTGGTATCATTATTACTTGACTTTTAAGTATATTAACTCACAGAAAGTGTCCTCTATATGCAGCTCTGTGGATTGGCAAATGACCCGAGTGCTTTGGTACATTGGCATCAGCCCCATATTCTAGTAAAAGACTCACAGAATCTGGATTTCCTCCTCCTGCTGCTTCAAATAATACAGAAGCACAATCCATTGCCTGTGAAAGAACATCTGCACCTGGAAAGAAGCAGTGAGGATTTTCAGAGGAGTCACTGTACACACCCAGCCATAACGAATGTCTCCAACCCTCCAGTGATGGGTATTGGGAATTTTATTCTTCACCAAATAAAACCAATGTGGGCACAAACCTTCATGCTGGATCCTTGATTTTAGATGTGTTTATGTAATCCTGGGGACAAGATGGTCCAAATTGCTTTGAATACAATTACATGGTAAGAATTGCTGCTAGAACTGGGCCAGCAAGTGGTTTGGTTCTTATTCATCCAAACAATTGCTTTTTGGCTTACATAGAATGCTCTTCAAATCTTTTACTTTACAAAGACCAGACAGATAGAACTGTAAATATGAGAGAACTCATCAAAAAGTTCATGCAATCCAGTTCCAGTGCTGCTGGACCACCATGTAAAATTCCCCACAATAAATGTTGTCAGGCCTTCCCTAAGGTGATCTGTCCACATGAGAAAACAATAGAGCATTTAAAAACAATTACGAATACAAAATATTTGTGAAATAAAATATTAATATATTATTTTAACCTTATAAAATGCGATTTTTATCAGGCCTTTACTTAACTACATCACAACAACCCTCTTGGTGCAGATAGCACTTAATATTCTTTAGTAAGGCGAGTTATTTCTGCTGCTGTTTCTAAAGGCATATCTTACAATAATCAGTTTTAATCCAATCACAGAACTTGCAGAAGACTAATAAAAATGTATGTAAATAGACTAAATACTTTAGCCTATGTATATGGGTACTGAGATAAGAACAATTTTTTGCCTTTGCATTCAGGAATACTTTTCTCTGTTGGGACAAAGACTCTGTCCCATTTGGGCTTTAAGCATTTCAGTACTGCACGTGTGGCTCCCAATTTCTATTCTCTTGAAGAACACCACCACTGAAGCTACATGTTACTAAAAACAGAACCACAGAGTAGTTGAGATTGGAAAGGATCTCTGGAGAATGTTCAGTCCAGCCCTGTGCTCAAGCAGGGGCAGCGACAGCAGGTTGCCCAGGACAGCATCCAGTCAGGGTTTTAGTGTCTCCAAGGAAGGAGATTCCACAAATCCGTGTGACCTGTCCCAGTGTTCAGCCACCCTCCCAAGACAGAATATGTCAGGTTTCAGTTGGTGCCCATTGCCTCTTGTCCAGTTATTGGGCACCACTGAGGAGAATCTGGCTCTGCATTCTTTACTCCATCCCATCATTTATAACCCTGATGACAGACCCCAACCCTGAGCCTTCTCTCCCTGTAAGATCCTACATTATAAAGTCTTACCTTTTTGCAGCAAGAGCTCCATAATTTCTGTGTGTCCCATCTGTGCAGCCAGTGCTAGAGGTGTGAGCCCATATCCACTGCGAGGGTCAGGATCTGCTCCAGAATGAAGGAGAAGCTCTACCAGCTCCTTCCTGCCCAGTCTGGCTGCCTCGTGTAGAGCAGTTCTCTTGTGGACACACTGCAAATCCACTTTGGCACCAGATCTTATCAACAAGGAGGCAATCTCATAGGAATCCTGTTTAATTGCTGTAGCACAACAAGCAAAGCATCAGACAGAATGTTATTCAATGCTATTCCATGCACTGTGGCTTCTGCAATGTGGCAGCTCAGGAAAGCTGTTCCTGCAGTGCTCTTTATACACTGAGAAACGTCACCCTACACTGAAAGGTTTAACTCATCAACGAGTCTGTTCTTTGCTTCCAGGACAGCACTAACCATAAAAATAAACCATGTTATGGTAATATCTCTCTGTAATCCTCTGTTGTGTTTGGTGATGGAACAGAACACAGCTTTCCTTACCACTAGATGGAGGCCACATCCAGGGCCTTAGTGGAGTCAGGAGCTGTCAGCAGAGCTCCATTTAAACTTCATAAGCAGTTACTACAATATGAAACAAAGTTTAAAATTATTGTGTCATATACCTTCTTAGCTTAATAAGCCTGAACTGTTGAGTCTGTAAGGATCTTAAAAGAGAAAATTGTATTGGCTCCAGGGAATGGAATGAATAAGCAACACCTTTCCCTCCTTCTCTCTTTGATCTTCCAGGCTGTGCAGGGTAGCAAGTGTCCTTCATCAAGACAGATTAGGCTGAGAAGCTTCATATGCCACAGCTGCTTGAAGTACCCCTGACAGCATCCTGTGATATGAGCTGTGATGTGCCATTATCTGGAACCTACACAGCAGCTTTAGATAAATCCCATTCATCCCCATCTTGTGGGATGATGCATTTTAATATTGGGCACTTCAAAAATGTCTAGGAATTCTCTACATCTTTTGTAAGCAGGTGGCCCTGACTAGAAGCTTCAGCCATTTCACAGGGATAGACTGGGGGTCCTATAGATGGTTGGTAGGCTCTTTTTCTTTAACAACAGTTTGGAAAAAAACCCCTCTTCCAATACTGAAAAATGTACAGGTTAATCCAAGAAACTTATAGTGCTCCTTTAGAACTCAGATAATGAGAGCACACTTTCATTTTTTTGGCTAGGATTCAGTAAGAATTATGGCATCATAGCCCAAACTGAGGGAAGTAAATGAAATGAACACAGAACACTTTTGAAAAACATTTTGGCAAAATATGGTTCTTTGCAAATGAAGAATTACAGTTCTTGTGCATGATCCAATTGAAGTGGTATCCACACAGAGTGGTCCTGGGTATGGGACCCTATTCTTCAATTACAAAACATTAAAGAGAACTGAACTGAGAATTTTGGCTTCACTTGTCATGCTTGGATTTGTGCCAGCAAGGTCTAAATAGGGCCAAACACTGTTTTGTGCTCTCCATACTGCAGAGAAATCAGGCTGGTTTGCTTTATTTTTGGAAAATCAAAAGCCATTATCATGGGTTTTGGAGAAAGAGAGGCTGATGCAATGGAAGAAATACCATGTTGGGCAGAGAATAGGAATGTTTTATGCCTGCAGACATGGAGGGCAGTAATAGCATGAAGAAGGACCTGGTTGCCTGGCACCACTGCATAAATGATGCCAAGGAAAGCAGAGGATGACCCTCTGCACTTCATGGAGAAAGCTAATTGATTCACTGGGGGAAAAATGTATGTTCAACCTGAACTTCAAACTCTTTGCAACTGAGGAATGAAAGGCAGTAGGCATCTGGAGCTCTCTACATTGGATCAGACTTCATGGAAAAATATTTTACTTCTCCCAGTTCCATGTTCATGGGAAAACTTCAATTAATAAATAATACAAAGAACTTTGTGATGACAGACCCTAACTTGGAACAGACAACTTATTTGAAGCCCTGATATCATCTAAGAAAACAGACAAGGGCAGACACATTCAATGCTGAGATTAAAATTTTTCCTTCTTATAGCAAAATATTTTAATAATAATTCAAACTAAACTCTAAAATGTGTATGATCTCACCTAATTCCCTCACCTCTCCACCCCTAAATAAGGTATTCACCTATAACTAAAGGAGAATCTCCCTCTTCATTCTTAACGTTGGGATTGCAGCCATTGAACAGGAGCAAGCAGACATTGTCCACAAGGCAATTCCTTACTGCCACCAGCAGAGGTGTTTCCCCTTTTAGAGTGGTCTGTTCCCACGTACCGGCATGGGAGGCTGAAATGCAGAACAGCAGAACACATTTGAATATGGGTGATTGATTAAACTCACTTTTGTAAAAACTTTTTGGTGGAAAACCAGGAGGACTCCATACCTTTCATAGTTATTTCAAGGATGTTCTTATTTAGCTGTGCTGCAGCTTCATGCACAGGAAGCCAGCCTTGCTCATCTGCTTCTTCAAAGGCAGAACTGTGCTTCACCAACTTCTTCAAGGCCTCTTCTTGGCCTGTGGTGTTTTAAGACAGACACATATCCCATTACTAACCATAAGACAAAATTCAGGCAACTAATACACTGAGTGTCATTTATCTCATCAGTGTATCTAGAATAAACAACCTGCTTTGTCAGAGCAATTTTTTCTCAGAGGAAAGTTTACATGAATGGAACAATCAATGATCAACATTGACTCCCAAAGTGTTTTGAATTACACATGGAAAAAACTTACTTACAATAACATTACTAAAATATTTCAAGTACAATCCTCTCGTGAGCAATATTGCATCTCATATTGGAAAACACTAAAGTTTTGCAGTTAAGGGACAGTATTGGAACACTTTTCAGGTAGAGAAAGCTTTTTAATCTGTGTATCTTGCAAAGTGAAAAATTGACTAATCAATTTATACTTAAAAATTGTTTATTTTAAAAGAAAGGCCTGGAATTTTCCCTTAATTTCAGGAGATGAAGCACTGGAATTTCTGAAAAGGGTGACACTTGAACCCATCCCATTACCATAATCCTATCTAATAAGTTAGTTTGGATGTCCTGGTTTTAGTTGTCTTATTCTTCCCAAGACTATATAAAGAAAAACTGCACTTAGATCAGGTGATCAAACACCCCAAATGTAGGCATTGCTCAGCAATTCCCAGGAGTACAGGCTTAGTGTGGGGTATTTGTACTTAACTGTCTGAATTGCTGCAATTATCTTTCCATGTTCTTCACTTGCAGTAGACTGGAAACTGCACAAACAGAACAAGAATAGAGTGAGAAGTAAAAATTAATGTGAAGTTCAGGATATAATTATACCTTAATTTAAATACTCAAGTCTAGACTACATGTTAGATTTCTCTAAGTTACATCAATTTTGTCAGGGTTTATCACATTAAAACAGTTTTTTGCTGGTCTTTCCCTGACAGTATAAATATTGAATTTTTCACATAACAAATTAAATACTAAGATGAGGGGAAGCTACCATATTAATCTAATTTTACATCACCTACTTATCCTCTTCATAAAGCCTTGTACTCCTTTAGATATTGATGTAACATCACCTGAAAGGTTCATACATTCCCATATTTTCAAGGAAACAGGTATACTTTTTCATGGAGAACTCAGACCAAGTGAGCTACCAATGGTTTCCAGTACCCATGAGACAAGGTCAGAGCAATCCAACATAGGGAGTCACAAAGGAAAGAAAGGTTACCACATGCTTACAAGAATGCCAAAACCCAAAATAGAAGCAATAACTTATTACCTTTCAGCCTCTGTTGCACAGTCACTTGTTTCAATTTTATGCCTCTCTTGTAAGCTTTCCTGAATAGCTCGTTGGGTAGGGATTTCTTCATCAGAATTGTCATCAAACATATACACAGAATTATACATGGCAAACCTGGATCACTTTGTGTAGGGAAACACTGCTTTTTAATTGGAAGCAGATGTTAAATCTTCAGGTTCAATCTGAAGTAACAGAAACAGCAGTCACTGTTAGAGTTTCAAGAGAAATGAACACAAAATAAATGAATTGGAACTTCCATCTCAAGCTTCAGCCTTCTCCCAAGGGTTTAGGTTTGCACTGCAGAATTATTCTATTTAGAACAGAGTAAAGGTTTTCTACTCCTGTAGCATATCCCAGCTTTTTTCTCTGTTCCACAGACTGAACATACAAAGAGAACATCTACTTGTTCTGGCAGTGCTTCCTAGAAAGCAACAAAAATAGGCAAAACTTTGCTTTTAGATAAACAGTCATTCCCTCTTAAGTCATTTAGACACTCAAATATCATCACAATCGAGCTCTGATGTTTTCTTAGTGGGAAAACAAATGTGCAATAAAACACAGGATGTTTTTCCTGTTTGTTCACAGCAGGTCTGGAAGGGAAGGGCAAGTGAAGGACATGAAATTTTTTAATAATAGCTCTTGTTCAAACTGTTTCAATAAAGACATTGTTAGGGCAATATCTGGTAGTCAGAAAAGTATTGCAGATTTGTGCTATTATGTGCACCACCCATCCAACTGAAACAACAACAAACATACTTGGAAAAACACCAACTTCACCACCTTATGTACCAAATCTACTGCCTTTTACAACAGATAAACTCACAATTCTGCCTCCATCCATGCATGCCTGTTTGCTTCTGATACTTTTAAGGGATATATCCAAAATACTGCAACAGTATATATCCAAATACAAGCAGAAATAAAACACACTGGTGTAACCCCAACTGAGTTAGTAACACAAAAAAGCTTAAGAGTAGCATTATTTAAAACAAAACAAAAAAACCCCAAAATCCAAACACATAAAACTTCTCCATATTTAAAGGATTCAATTGAAGATTGCAAGACAAACAATGGAGCACAGAATTAAATCCAACTGGTACTATATTAAGTCTAAATGTTAAAATTTAAGAAGAAATAATAAAAAATTATTAACGATCAAACTGATCACTAAATAGCATAATGGATGGAGATATACTCTGTTAAGCAGTCCCACTGTCCTTCTGTATATTCAGCTACATGCTATTATAGGTTAAAATCACAGATGGTCTATTAGGCTCAAACCTCTCATCTGTTTTACCTTATCAAAACATCCACCTCTGTCTTCCAAGACAGCTGGCCTGAAAGAAACCCTCAAAACTACAGGGAAAAATAAAATAAAGTAAATAAGTAAAACTGAAAGCAAATAAACAAATTGGCAAAACGAATGAGCACAACAAAATTAAGGAAGTTGTCAACATGCCACTTACAAAGTTTGGAGTAATTCTAGAAACATCCTAAAGTTGGGCAGCAGTAATTCACAGCAAACCTGCAGCATTTAATTTGTTACCTGATCCACCTAATGTGTGATTGCAAGGCCTTGCTCTGTAATAGCACATGTAGCAAAGAAGAGAAATATTATTAGCAACATACACAGACTGTTAGTAATGGATTATACTATGGCACAGTGAGTACAGAAACATTTTAAGTCTAGACTACTTCTTTTTCACAAATTGACTACTAATTTTCCTATGAATTGAGAAAAATATACTGGTTTTCCTCACCTTCTGAAAGAGGGAAGACCTCACACTTTGAAGAAGTAATTATTAAGTTGAAAGTGATATTTTCAGGATTGCAAATGATCTCTGTAGAGCCCATGTCCATTAATAGCTCCCTATAAATACCCGATCATGAGACAGGCTGGGACTTTGTCCATGTTTCTTTCACACAGGCCAGTAATGTTTAATAATCTGACCTGACAAATGGTATCAACAAAAGAAGGAATTAAAAGTCCAGTTTCCTCGTAAAAATTCTCATGTTTTTGGAATGAGAATTTGAGAACTATAGCAGTAACTATTACATTATGAAAAGAAAATTCTTAAGTGCTGTCCTAAAAGAGAAAACTGAAGACAGTGTTAGGAGCTTACTTAAAAGGGTAAGACAGGATAAAAACCAAAACCAGTAAAAGTAAACATGCACAAGCAAATAAAATCAAGCCAAAATGCTATTAAAATTATTATGTTTCTGATTGCTTAGTCACAGTTCACAGTAATATAAATAGAAAAGCAAATGAGAAATAAACAGAGTTTTTAAAGGAAAAATGAGTTTCAGAAAGACAGACTTACACTGGTGTAACACCCAACAAAGGGAAATGAGGGAATAAGATGCCCAGTTATAATAGTGATGGCAGGATGGAGTTATTCCCACTGTATGTTACAGAGGGATACATACAAAGAAATGATGATGTATCTGAATGCAAGGTGGAAAGAGTTCCTTGCTAGAGGAAATCTAGAAAGAATTCTTGAGTAATTTTTTTTTTATTTTTCAAGAAAACAAATGTGCAGAATCAACTTTATTGCCTGTAATGTTTCTCTCAGAAAGTGCAGACTACTTTCATATTCCATTAAGATACATTTTGTGATATTTAACTAAGGCATAAAACTGATGTTCACACAACAATAATATTACCAAGGGCTAAAATCCTACTTGTTTTTTTACAGATTGTAAAGACACTAATAATAACAACACATATTTAACTAAGACAAAATATTGAGGATCAGAAAGTATTTGTAGCCCTCTTAATATAAAAAACTCCAGATGTTTCTTTTACACACTGTGTTCCACTTCCTGTATAAGCCAACAAAAAGAACAGGATCTTGTGGAGTCTGGATCTGGAGTGCCCAGAGTCAGTCATCCAGCTGGCAGAGCAGTGCAACCCCTCTCTTGATCCAGTGCTGGACGGGTTTGTCCGTGTTGAGCCTCAAGGCAATGACGAAGTTGGTGGAATGACCAGTGGTAGACAAGACTCCTTTGCGCTCACTTGTCTTGTAGAGTGGGCAAACATAGGCATTGGATTCCTTTATGTCCGATTTTGGAGCTTCAAAAGAACCCCAAAGTAATCCATTACATTCAGCAGATCTATTCACACAAATATAATCTACATGCAAATATTAAGTATTTTCAGTAACATCTTTAAAGCTAAAGAAAAATGTAAAATTGTTTTGTAGCAACAGAATAAAATTATCCCACTTCTTTTTTTTTGTGTTCTCTTATGTGGTTTCTTTTGTTTTTAAATGCAACTAATTTATCCACAATCTGTTTTCAGGATTCAGTGCCTTCCTGTGATTCTACCATCTTTGTAATACTCAAAGAAACATTAAATCTGCATAGTTACCTAGTTTAACCACAGATTATACATGAGCTCTACAAGAATTCTGGTCCAGCTGCCACAGAAATAACTGCAATTCAAGTCACCTGAGATCCAAGGACAGAACTCTGCAGGAACTCTTTGTATGCCCAGACTGCTTACATGGAACTTGTGCAAAGCCTAAAACCATGCAGGTCTGAGCAGATTCATCCAACCTCAAGAGAAAGCACAGGCAGAAAAATTTTTCTGGGAAAAATTTTTAAGACTGCCTATTTGTTGACAATGGCTAAGTTTTAACAGTTGCAGTAGAAAGTTGTGATTATGTGAGTAAGTAAAACAGGGATTTACTCCTGATCAAAGAAAACAAGAGTTGTGAAAAACTACTTACTAGTATGAGAGGCAGTCGGTATAGCAGCTAAAAATAACCTGAGCAAACCTTGGTAAATCACATGAGGTAAAATACTGAGTCTGTAAGTCAGTTGAAAGTTCCCCTCAACTTGAGTAGAGCCAGGAATTCAAGTACCATGTGCTTTCCTACCCAAATTAACCTTTTGCTGAAAAACAGATTGGGAGCAACCAAACATATTTACAAATGTTCATTTAACTAGTCTTTTCATCTAATTCATAATTCTAAATATCTCTGAGGAGTGGGACAGGCCCAGGGCTCAGACAGGTGGGACCAACCTCAGCGAGCAGGCCCCACTTTTGACAGGAAAGTCTCAGGTCAGATGAACGTGAATTCTGTGCACATTTGGGTACTTGGGTGAGGACACTGATCTTCAGTAAAAAAGGAAACCACTGTTGCAATATCTTGTTGAATAGTTCATATCAGAGAAATTATACTCACTTGGCTTTATCCAAATGATTGGCATGGCGTCAAAGAGCACTTTGGGATACTGCTCAGTCAACATTCCCCTGGGGAGAGAAAGCAACAAAGCAATTATTTGCGGCTTGAGGGGTTTGGTGGGTGTTTTTTGCTTGTTGCTTGATAGGTTGTTGGCTTTTTCTTCCCCATTTTCCATGAACGAGAGAGTATTTAATTTGGTGTGTTATTTCAATAACGTGAAAAGTATCACTCAAAATATTTCAGCCAATCTTGTTTGAGCATCTAAGAAAGCTTTCCAGAACCACAGGAAAAAACTTGGCTACTGACTTTGTCCTGTCCCAGCGAGCTCCGTCTAAAAATAATCCGTGGATATAAACACCGTCTTCTGGGGCAGTATCAGCAGTATCCTGAGGAATAACCTACAAGAAGTAAATTTTCCATGTTATTAAACTTCCCCTGCTCTTTGCTTTTTGAGGCATTATGCCACCAGCCAATTTTCAGATCAATCCAAATTGAGAATAATATAGTAACACCTTCCTTTCAGTGCTATTTTTACTCAAAACCATAGAGAGCAGATTTCTGTGGGTTTGTTAATTGTCTTTATAGAGGTTATAAAATGAGGCTTGAATCACACAGACAAATATGAACCATATAGGCTGTTTTCTTGAGTGGAGGTCCAGGTCCAATGACAGAATTACTTTTCATTACTTTGAATATACCTCTTCTACAGATGTTATATATTATATTATAATTATATATATAGTATATTTTAACATATATATATATGATATGCCAACCTTACCAAAGAAATACATGTATGTCTTCAGACTGCAGTGAGTTAGTTGCAAAATGAATCTTCCAGTCAGGATTTCTTTACTACATCTCACTACATCAGGACTCAGATTAATAAAATATTAATTTATAACTTGTCCATACCTGAAATTCATATCCCAGAAGGTCAATAGGGATTCTGTGTTTCCTAGCATAGTTTTGCATTGCTCCAGTTAGGAAAGCTTGAGTAAAATAGAATCCTGACAGCCAAAAAACAGGGGGCTTCCCTAATTCATACCAATCCTGGAAGGAGAAAAGTGACACATTCAATAATCAGAAATAGAAATCCCACACTCTTTGACAATTTTCTCCATAACTGAACTCAGAAAAATCTAAACAAAGCCTATCCCTCCTTTCCCAATAATCCTTTAACATAAAGGACAAATTATATGAAAAAGCAGATTAAGAAATTGGCAGCCCTGCCTCTTGTACATCACCTGTAGAAACTTCAGCCTTGCCAGCAAATCGACAATGTAGCTCCCTAATGGCTTTAGACTTGGGTAGGAATGTTGTGCCCACTTCTCAGGAACTTTTCCAATAAGGAGACTGCCAGACAGAGCCTCCAGCTCAGCATCCATAACAACCAGTCCTTTAATGGCTTTCTTCAGGTTAATTAGTGTAATACGAATAGTTCGGATTAAACTGGAATTAGAAAATAAAACATTTTTCACACGTTTTGCACGATTTGTAAAACATGACAGTGGCAATGGAAAGAAATGTAAAAAAATTGACTATGGAATCATCTATAGAACTTGTACACCTAATGCATACATACACATACCCACATACATATATATATATACACACACACATGTATACACAATTAGCCACATCTGTCAAGTCATGGATTTGTGCAGATTTATTTAAGACTAGGATCAGTAATAATTTCCTTTGTTATCTCTGATATACTCTGTGTTGTTAGGTAAGAGGATAAATTTGGAACTCCAAATGTATTGACCATATACATTTTGAAGGAAAAAGGTTTAGATTCCAAAAGAAGAGGTGGGTAGGGTCTGGAACAAGGATAACTTGGAGACTGAAGGCCAGAGAGAATTAGGGAGAAAATGGAGCAGAAAGTGTGAAGAGACAAACAGAAAAGGAGGAAGACAAAGAAAAACCAGAAAGAAGGAATGGAGAGGCAGGCAAAGATAAGAAAGAAAATTAGGAAACAAAGTCAAAAAAGAGATCAGGGAACCAAACAGAAAAATGAAAGTGATTACAGGTTTGTAATCCTAGGAGAGTAATTGAGGAAATAAGGTCTAGGGAAAAAAGGCATCAGAAAAAAAGGGCAGGAAAAAGGAAATTTTACAATCAGAAGTATATGAGACAACAAAGAAATACACAGAAATATTTCCATCTATCAAGAAAAAGGTTTCATAAACTATAACTGTGCATGTATTACAGTTTCTAAACCCTTTACCCTACAGGTCAGAAATATGAGGAAAATAAAATATAATTGAAGATAAAGATGGTGAAAGGGAAAGGGAAGTTAAAAAAAAAAAGGAACATAAAAATATTGTTTGCATGCTCTCTTCCCAGAGCTTCCTCACACTCTCTTCTTCTATCATATATTTTTCTCTTTCAGTTCATTTTGCCCCTAGACCATTTTTCCTGACAGCCATCCTACACTCTGACTTTCCACAAGGAGCAGTGGTGCTTGGACTGCAGATAGCACTGCAGACAATTAGAAGGGAACAAAATAAATGAAATATTTCACACAACAGAGCTTACAGTGTATGATTCACAGGAAATTTTTCCTGCAAATAGAGTTATAATAAAATAGAACATTCTTACTGGTTAAATCTTTCCATTTCTTGCACCAGCACAGTGTTCATACTTTCTTCATATCTCACAGGATATTTAAGTAGGCAATTTTCAATGTCAAAATCATTTGGAAGCTGTAAATGACAACATATTTGAAAATCATTCCATATATCATTATGCAATGGTTTTCATCACTCGAGGCATGCAAATGTGAATATTTGCAGAGTAATAATACCACTAAACTTTCTGATTAGTATCTTATCAATACAGTATTCAGTAATTCAATCTAAATAAAAATTACAGGGTTTTTTCATGTTCATCT